AACAAAAATTATTTTTTGAAAATTCTTGGACACTGGTGCACACTTTGAAATTTGGCCTCTGGACCCTGAAAGGGTTAAGAAAATGCCTAAAAATAGTACTGCTGCTGATGAATTTAAGGCCAGCAAAGGCTGGTTTGAGAGATTTAAGATTCGTAGTGGCATACATAGTGTGGTAAGGCATGGTGAGGCCGCCAGTTCAGACAGAAATGTGGCTGAAAAATATGTGAAGGACTTTAACCCGTAAACGGTCCAAACGTATATATACGTTTTTTCAACATTTGAATGTAAAAAAAGCAGATCTTTTTTTTTTTTTACATTTGAAAATGTGTAAAAAACTTTGATTTACTTTTTTTTTTGTGTTATACGTATTTGAAAATATGTAAAAAAAAATGTAGATCTACTTTTGTAGCGCTACACATGTGAACGTAGATCTGCTTGGACCGTTTACGGGTTAAGGAACACCTAGAGCCTGAAAACTTAAAACCTGAACAAATGCTTAATTGTGAGGAAACAGGCCTGTACACAAATAACCCGCACATAAAAGAGAGAAGCTTACGACGACGTTTCGGTCCGACTTGGACCACTGACAAAGTCAATGGTCCAAGTCGGACCGAAACGTCATCGTAAGCTTCTCTCTTTTATGTGCGGGTTATTTGTGTATCGTTCCAGTCACGGTATTGTGCCTTTTTTTGTTATTTATAAACAGGCCTGTTTTGGAAGAAAATGCCAAACAGGACTTACATTATTCAGGAGGAAAAGGCACTCCCAGAACATAAGCCTATTAAAGACAAGCTGACATTAATGTTGTGTAGTAATGCTAGTGGTGATTGGAAAGTGAAGCCTTCATTGGTGTATCACTCTGATACTCCCAGAGTGCTCAAGAAAAACAATATCGTCAAGAGTAATTTGTGTGTGCTGTGGAGATCAAACAGTAAGGCATGGATCACTAGGGAACTTTTCTTGGACTGGTTTTATGGTGTGTTTGGCCCCACTGTGAAAAATTACCTCCAGAAAAAGAAATTGTCACTCAAGTGCCTCCTGGTAATGGACAATGCTCCTGCTCATCCTCATTACTTGCAAGAGGAATTTGCAGGGGAGTTCGTTTTTGTTAAAGTGAAGTTTTTGCCTCCTAATGCAACTCCTCTCCTGCAGCCCATGGACCAGCAGGTCATTTCAAGCTTCAAAAAACTCTACATAAAAGCAGTGTTTCAAAAGTGCTTTGAAGTGACCTCAGACACTCAATTGACCCTTAGAGTTTTGGAAAGATCACTTTAATATCCTCAGTTGTGTAAACCTTATAGGTAAGGCTTGGGAGGGAGTGACTAAGAGGACCTTGAACTCTGCTTGGAGGAAACTGTGGCCAGAATGCGTAGAACAGTTTGGGGCTAGCCCTCAGGAGGCTATGTCAGTAGTGGAAGCTATTGTGTCATTGGGGAAGTCCTTGGGATTGGAGGTTTGTAATGAGGATGTGGAAGAGTTGGTGCAGAATGATGAGGAAGAACTAACCACTGCAAACCTGCAAGAGCTTCAGGTGCAACAGCAACAGATCACATCTCAGGAATGTTCTTCAGAGCAGGATGAAGAGAGACGGAGGAAGATGACTTCGTCAAGGATTAAGGAAATGTGTACAATGTTTACAAAGGTACAAGCATTTATCAATGAATTTTATCCTGCCACAGAAGTTGCAGCCACATTGGCAACATGTACAATGACACTCTTATGTCCCATTTTAGGGAAATCCTAAGGACACGTGAGAAACAAAGCTCTCTGGGCGGATATTATGTGCGACAGGGGTCCAGTGACTTGGCAGGACGGTAGTACCTCCCTGGGTGGTTGCTGTCTACCAACCTACTACCGGATTAATTCTATTTCCATTATTTCTTATGGGGAAAATTAATTTGACCAACGGCAAATTCAACTAACGGCAAGCTCTCTGGAACAGATTAATGCCACTGGTTGAGGGTCCACTGTGTTACTGTGTAAGTTGAATATGGATATGATATAAATAAATAAATAACTACTGTCACCAAATAAGTAAATAAATAAATAATTACTGTAGCTAAATAGTACCATATAGGTAGTAGGTTGGTAGACAGCAACCACCCAAGGAGGTACTACCGTCCTGCCAAGTGAGTGTAAAACGAAAGCCTGTAATTGTTTTACATGATGGTAGGATTGCTGGTGTCCATTTTTCTGTCTCATAAACATGCAAGATTTCAGGTACGTCTTGCTACTTCTACTTACACTTAGGTCACACTACACATACATGTTTTTTTTTTTTTTTTTTCAACAAGTCGGCCGTCTCCCACCGAGGCAGGGTGACCCAAAAAAAGAAAGAAAATCCCCAAAAAGAAAATACTTTCATCATTCAACACTTTCACCACACTCGCACATTATCACTGTTTTTGCAGAGGTGCTCAGAATACAACAGTCTAGAAGCATACACACATAAAGATACACAACATATCCCTCCAAACTGCCAATATCCCAAACCCCTCCTTTAAAGTGCAGGCATTGTACTTCCCATTTCCAGGACTCAAGTCCGACTATATGAAAATAACCGGTTTCCCTGAATCCCTTCACTAAATATTACCCTGCTCACACTCCAACAGATCGTCAGGTCCCAAATATCATTCGTCTCCATTCACTTTCCCATCTAACACGCTCATGCACGCTTGCTGGAAGTCCAAGCCCCTCACCCACAAAACCTCCTTTACCCCCTCTTTCCAACCCTTTCGAGGACGACCCCTACCCCTCTTTCCTTCCCCTATAGATTATAATGCTTTCCATGTCATTCTACTTTGATCCATTCTCTCTAAATGACCAAACCACCTCAACAACCCCTCTTCTGCCCTCTGACTAATGCTTTTATTAACTCCACACATTCTCCTAATTTCCACACTCCAAATTTTCTGCATAATATTTACACCACACATTGCCCTTAGACAGGACATCTCCACTGCCTCCAACCGTCTCCTCGCTGCTGCATTTACCACCCAAGCTTCACATCCATATAAGAGTGTTGGTACTACTATACTTTCATACATTCCCTTCTTTGCCTCCATAGATAACGTTTTTTGACTCCACATATACCTCAACGCACCACTCACCTTTTTTCCCTCATCAATTCTATGATTAACCTCATCCTTCATAAATCCATCCGCCGACACGTCAACTCCCAAGTATCTGAAAACATTCACTTCTTCCATACTCCTCCTCCCCAATTTGATATCCAATTTTTCTTTATCTAAATCATTTGATACCCTCATCACCTTACTCTTTTCTATGTTCACTTTCAACTTTCTACCTTTACACACATTCTCAAACTCATCCACTAACCTTTGCAATTTTTCTTTAGAATCTCCCATAAGCACAGTATCATCAGCAAAAAGTAACTGTGTCAATTCCCATTTTGAATTTGATTCCCCATAATTCTAGTTGTTATTCTTGTTTATTTCCTCTTATCTCCATGGGGAAGTGGAACAGAATTCTTCCCCCGTAAGCCATGCGTGTTGTAAGAGGCGACTAAAATGCCGGGAGCAAGGGGCTAGTAACCTCTTCTCCTGTATATATTACTAAATGTAAAAGGAGAAACTTTCGTTTTTCCTTTTGGGCCACCCCGCGTCGGTGGGATACGGCCGGTGTGTTGAAAGAAAGAAAGAAATAGTACCAGTATTGAGAAGTAAATAAATGAATACAAGTTTATCCTACCAATAAATGTACAGTATTGAATGTGCTTCACTATCACACCATCGTCAAGTTGAATCATGGCAAAGTGAGGAGCACCTCTACTGTCAAGTAGATGCTCATCTGTCCTGTAATTGGTTATTTGAGCTTTGAACATTATCAGGGTCTGGCTCAGTCCACCACCTAAATAGATAGAAAATGATGTGAGCATTATCCTTTTCCATCGCTGAAGACACTGGAATATCTGACATCATCGCACTACTGAAGTGTCTGGGCTCAGGGACAAACATTTCAACACCTTATATGAGTCCCATCCTTTGTGATGGGTTATGGAAGGGTGGAGATTTGTTGCAGTTTTAAACTATAGTGTCGGCACACCTCTGGCAAGACAGTGATGGAGTGAATGATGATGGAAGTGTTTCTTTTTTGGGGGGGGGTCACTCTGCTTCAATGTAGCTATCACATAAAATAGTATAACAGCACAATGATGATGACTCCACTTTCATTAAATAAAAAATGGATAATTAATAACTTACTGAGAGTAAATACAGACATTGCTATACTTTGAGAACTATTCAAACTTATTATTAATCATTTTTTTTAACAAACTGGCCATCTGCTGCCAAGGCAGGATGACCCAGAAAAAAAAAAAAGAAACACTTTCATCATCACTCACTCCATCACTGTCTTGCCAGAGGTACACCAATATTACAGTTCAAAACTGCAAATATCCCCAACCATCCTTCAGAGTGTGAGCATTGTACTTCTCACCTCCTGAACTTTAACATCCCCACCCTTCCTTCAGAGTGCAGGTACTGTACTTCCCACCTCCAGAACTGTAACATCCCCACCCATCCTTCAGAGTGCAGGTACTGTACTTCCCACCTCCAGAACTGTAACATCCCCACCCTTCCTTCAGAGTGCAGGTACTGTACTTCCCACCTCCAGAACTGTAACATCCCCACCCTTCCTTCAGAGTGCAGGTACTGTACTTCTCACCTCCTGAACTTTAACATCCCCACCCTTCCTTCAGAGTGCAGGTACTGTACTTCCCACCTCCAGAACTGTAACATCCCCACCCTTCCTTCAGAGTGCAGGCACTGTACTTCCCACCTCCAGGACTGTAACATCCCCACCCTTCCTTCAGAGTGCAGGTACTGTACTTCCCACCTCCAGAACTGTAACATCCCCACCCATCCTTCAGAGTGCAGGTACTGTACTTCCCACCTCCAGAACTGTAACATCCCCACCCATCCTTCAGAGTGCAGGTACTGTACTTCCCACCTCCAGAACTGTAACATCCCCACCCTTCTTTCAGAGTACAGTCCACATACTTACTTCTTCTCTCGTTTAATACCCGATGAAGCATGAGGCAGCAGGAAGAAATAAACTTTGTTCTTGGGCTTGGGTGAGGTCTTCTCTACAACAATATCCAGTACCCACGGTGGTACAGTTTCATTAAGGAGAACACCTTCAGTATCACCACCTGCATCACCACACAGCAACCTGTATAGTGTTCTTCCTTGTATTTCGCTGTGAAAGATAATACTATCATCAGTATAAAAGTGAAGTTCTGATGTTGATCAAAGCAATGGTAAAAAAAAGTACCTGAATTAACCTTAAAATATTTATTGTATTAATGGTACACAGTACGAACTTATGGGGGATAAGATACACATGAAACATTTGGGCATCATTACTGTGGAAATGTTTTGCCAACCAGTGGCTTTATCAGTCCTGTACAGTGAAAATTGTTGGGGAATGTGAAGAGGGAGTGTGAGGTAATCAGTTCATCAACCCTGATAAGAATACAGTACAGTGGAGCTTTGGTACTTGAACTTAATTTGTTCCAGAAGGTTGTTCGAGAGCTGATCTGATCGAGGACTGAACGAATTTTTCCCATAGGGAATAATGTAAATTAGATTAATCTGATTCAGACCCCCAAAAATACACTTGAAAAAGTATTTTAACATGTTTACAAGCCTAGCATGCATAAATCTTAAGAAGAAAAAACAACTAAACACAATAGATGAAATAAATGTAAATATATTTCATCTATTCTGATTACTTGCTCGGTAGTCAACCAAGCAAACGGTCGACTACCGAGCGATTTTTTTTTACCGAACAAAGCGTTCAAATACCGAATTGTTTGAGTACCAAGGTACTACTATATATGTTAGAAGGACTTATATTATGCAGACAGGTGAGGTGAAGCAGTCACAGGCAGCATCATCTTGGACAAATCCACCAGGTCTGTGGTCTGTGGGTGTAATTAATCAACCTGTCGGTTCTCTGAACCATTTACGAACAGCAAGTGTACTGCACCAGAGAGAGGGGAACCCTATACATCACAGTGTACTCAAACAAGACTTACCTAATTATAACTGGTGTGTGTGGAGGAATAGTGAAGTATTCATTGCCAGGTCTTGGGGTATGACCATTATGAGTGGTTACTCCACCCTCCGCACCTTCTCCGCTCTCGTTCTCTTCAAACAAGTACGTTCTTGGCCAGTGTTCAAACAAGGCTTTTAATAATAGTTCTCCATAGTTAACTGCAAAACAAAAAAATACTATAGTCTCATAGTCTAAAGAAAAAAAAGGAATATGCAATATTGTATTACAGTAGAATCCCTGTATACACGGAGTCTGTTTCTGCGGTTTAAGCTTTCCGCAGTTTACTGTGGCCTAAGAATAACCCTTAATTTTATTTAGTAATGACCTCAAACTGCAAAAGTAGTGATGGTGGCAGTTCTTCAAAGACTAAGTCATGAAGTGCTTCCCACCAGTTAAAAAGTGCTAATTCTTGACTTATTTTGTGTAATTTATCAATTAAACTTTATCATAGGTATGTATGTAAATGAAAAATGATACATATAATATCCTCCATGGATACAGGGGGATGACTGTACCTTTTCTTTTAACATATTGGCCGTCTCCCACCGAGGCAGGATGACCCGAAAAAGGAACACTTTCGCCATCATTCACACTATCACTGGATGCTGGTGAGGGGCTCTTGATCTAAGGAACTGTTTCTGTGCTCAAATTCTTGAATCAACTTTGAATGTCTTCCATTCCTCCAGGAGCTATATGACACCTATGGGTTTAGAGCTCTCCCCCTCCCATGAATGCAATAATAAAATTATAGAGCATCCCATAACAATGGGACTATGCTATTTCACTCTCATAAATACTAGCGTACTCACTGATCTAGTGTATACCTCTGGCTTCACCCTTCCAACATCCTCCAAAAGTCAACTTATGGTAGACATCACAATTTGAAGTACATGAAAGCCCTGCACCTAGGTAGTAGGTTGGTAGACAGCAACCACCCAGGGAGGTACTACCGTCCTGCCAAATGAGTGTACAATGAAAACCTGTAATTGTTTTACATGATGGTAGGATTGCTGGTGTCTTTTGTCTGTCTCATAAACATGCAAGATTTCAGGTATGTCTTGCTACGTCTACTTACACTTAGGTCACACTACACATACATGTACAAGCATATATATACACACCCCTCAGGGTTTTCTTATATTTTCTTTCTAGTTCTTGTTCTTGTTTATTTCCTCTTATTTCCATGGGGAAGTGGAACAGAATTCTTCCTCCGTAAGCCATGCGTGTCGTAAGAGGCGACTAAAATGCCGGGAGCAAGGGGCTAGTAACCCCTTCTCCTGTATATATTACTAGATTTAAAAGAGAAACTTTTGTTTTTCTTTTTGGGCCACCCTGCCTTGGTGGGATACAGCCGGTGTGTTGAAAGAAAGAAAGAAAGAAACCCCTGCATAGCAGCGCTGTACTTTACAGTGTTTCGCTAATACAGTTTTCAATTCTAGTCATTCTTCATTTATTCAGACTTCCTACAATAAACATATTCACCAGTCACTATAAACTAAGGATGAAAATATTTTAAGGTGTATAATGTGTCAACTGTATAATATGCATTTTTAGGACAGAGTAAACATGTTATCAGGTTTTTATATGTATTTGAAAGTGAAAAAAGACTGTTTCACTTTACAACTATTTTCTGCTGTCCAGCAGTAGCCTGGAGCTTAACCTGCTGTATAAGCAGGGCCCTCCTGTACAGCAGTAGCCTAGAACCTAACCTGCTGTATAAGTAGGGCCCTCTTGTACAGCAGTAGCCTAGAACCTAACCTGCTGTATAAGCAGGGTCCTCCTGTACAGCAGTAGCCTAGAACCTAACCTGCTGTATAAGTAGGGCCCTCTTGTACAGCAGTAGCCTAGAACCTAACCTGCTGTATAAGCAGGGCCCTCCTGTACAGCAGTAGCCTAGAACCTAACCTGCTGTATAAGTAGGGCCCTCTTGTACAGCAGTAGCCTAGAACCTAACCTGCTGTATAAGCAGGGTCCTCTTGTACAGCAGTAGCCTAGAACCTAACCTGCTGTATAAGCAGGGTCCTCCTGTACAGCAGTAGCCTAGAACCTAACCTGCTGTATAAGCAGGGTCCTCCTGTACAGCAGTAGCCTAGAACCTAACCTGCTGTATAAGTAGGGCCCTCTTGTACAGCAGTAGCCTAGAACCTAACCTGCTGTATAAGCAGGGCCCTCCTGTACAGCAGTAGCCTAGAACCTAACCTGCTGTATAAGTAGGGCCCTCTTGTACAGCAGTAGCCTAGAACCTAACCTGCTGTATAAGCAGGGTCCTCCTGTACAGCAGTAGCCTAGAACCTAACCTGCTGTATAAGCAGGGTCCTCCTGTACAGCAGTAGCCTAGAACCTAACCTGCTGTATAAGTAGGGCCCTCTTGTACAGCAGTAGCCTAGAACCTAACCTGCTGTATAAGCAGGGCCCTCCTGTACAGCAGTAGCCTAGAACCTAACCTGCTGTATAAGCAGGGCCCTCTTGTACAGCAGTAGCCTGGAACCTAACCTGCTGTATAAGCAGGGCCCTCCTGTACAGCAGTAGCCTAGAACCTAACCTGCTGTATAAGTAGGGCCCTCTTGTACAGCAGTAGCCTAGAACCTAACCTGCTGTATAAGCAGGGTCCTCCTGTACAGCAGTAGCCTAGAACCTAACCTGCTGTATAAGCAGGGTCCTCCTGTACAGCAGTAGCCTAGAACCTAACCTGCTGTATAAGCAGGGTCCTCCTGCATAGCAGTAGCCTGCAACCTAACCTGCTGTATAAGAAGGTCCCTCCTGCATAGCAGTAGCCTGCAACCTAACCTGCTGTAAAAGCAAGGCCCTCCTGTACAGCAGTAGCCTAGAACCTAACCTGCTGTATAAGCAAGGCCCTCCTGCATAGCAGTAGCCTGCAACCTAACCTGCTGTATAAGAAGGTCCCTCCTGCATAGCAGTAGCCTGCAACCTAACCTGCTGTATAAGCGAGGCCCTCCTGTACAGCAGTATCCTGCAACCTAACTTGCTGTATAAGCAGGTCCCTCCTGTAGTTATTATTACCAGTAGTAACAAGGTAATAGGACATTCCTTTATGGAACAGGAGTATTTGTTGCTATCAATGCTACTGTCAACAGAAATTTGAAGACTAATGAATGTGAAGCGCCTGGCAACATACTCTTAAGGTCGACACCATCTTGAGTTGGAAAATCAGCCTCTTTTGCCGAGACCCAGGCAGACAAACAATCAACTTCGTCTCTTTTCTCCGCTAAGTGGATGGTCAACATCTGTAAATACAAAATAAATTAAGTACCGTATTGATGTATAAATACAATACCAATTTCAAGGTACAAACAGTAACAATAATAATTATTTTCAAAGATGATATACAGTGGACCCCCGGTTTACGATCAGCTCCCAATGCGACCAATTATGTAAGTGTATTTATGTAAGTGCGTTTGTATGTGTATGTTTGGGGGTCTGAAATGGACTAATTTAATTCACAATATTCCTTATGGGAACAAATTCGGTCAGTACTGGCACCTGAACATACTTCTGGAATGAAATAATATCGTAAACCGGGGGTCCACTGTATTTGTAAACTAAATATGTCATATTGGAGACTGATCCTCAGTCCATTAAATGAACCTGGCTTTCTGACCAATCAGGCAGCATGGTAGGTAAGACACATAGGCAACATTTAGGCAACTTTATTCCAAAAAGTTTCGCCTACACAGTAGGCTTTTTCAGTCGAGTACAGAAAGTAGGCAGGAGCAGTAAAGATGTGAAGATGATGTAATCAGTCCATCACCCTTGAAGTCGTAGATTTGAGGTTGTCAGTCCCTCAGCCTGGAGAAGTTCTGTTCCAAAGTCTGGAACTAACTGAAGATCAAGCGACAGTGTTGAGACTTAAATACTGTCAGAAGGAGAGGTGCAGAGTAGTAGTAGTGAGACTGTAGCCTCAAATCTATGGAGAATGTAGAATATAACTTTGGTACATCTGTGTCTAGCATTAGGAATAATATTAGGAGAGAAGTAAATAATGAAAATGATTGTTATAGGAATGCAGTTAGAAGCCTGAGTAGATTTATAACCCACTATGATAACATGAAAGTAGATAAGTATGTTTATGGAGCAACGTGCAATGTGAACAGACTGATTGATATTGTAGTGGCCAGGCTTAGGCTTGGTTACAAGTACTTCTGGCAGTTTGGGAGACACACAGATGATGATCAAACTAAATGTAAATTATGTAGGCATATGGTCTGTCTTGAACACTATGTGCTTAATGTCCACTTATTGAGGAATACAGAGATAGACAATATAATAACCTATGTAACATGTCAAGATATCTTATTAATGAAAATAAGATACCAGATATACTAAGCAAATTTCCTAAATTTGCTTGTAACAGATAACTGAACTATAGATCTTTCTTTCAACACACCGGCCGTATCCCACCGAGGCGCGGTGGCCCAAAAGGAAAAACGAAAGTTTCTCCTTTTACATTTAGTAATATATACAGAAGAGGTTACTGGCCCCTTGCTCCCAACTGAACTATAGATATGTAGATATAAATCCATATGTATTCCTGTTAATAAGTTTACTGAGTATACCAGGAAAAGTATACGGTAGGGTTATAATTGAAAGAATTAGAGGTAAGACAGAATGTAGGATTGCAGATGAGCAGGGAGGTTTCAGAGTGGGTAGGGGATGTGTAGATCAAGTGTTTACATTGAAGCATATATGTGAACAGTATTTAGATAAAGGTAGGGAAGTTTTTATTGCATTTATGGATTTAGAAAAGGCATATGATAGAGTGGATAGAGGAGCAATGTGGCAGATGTTGCAAGTATATGGAATAGGTGGTAAGTTACTAAATGCTGTAAAGAGCTTTTATGAGGATAGTGAGGCTCTGGTTAGGGTGTGTAGAAGAGAGGGAGAATACTTCCCGGTAAAAGTAGGTCTTAGACAGGGATGTGTAATGTCACCATGGTTGTTTAATATATTTATAGATGGGGTTGTAAAAGAAGTAAATGGTAGGGTGTTTGGGAGAGGGGTGGGATTAAATTATGGGGAATCAAATTCAAAATGGGAATTGACACAGTTACTTTTTGCTGATGATACTGTGCTTATGGGAGATTCTAAAGAAAAATTGCAAAGGTTAGTGGATGAGTTTGAGAATGTGTGTAAAGATAGAAAGTTGAAAGTGAACACAGAAAAGAGTAAGGTGATGAGGGTATCAAATGATTTAGATAAAGAAAAATTGGATATCAAATTGGGGAGGAGTATGGAAGAAGTGAATGTTTTCAGATACTTGGGAGTTGACGTGTTGGCGGATGGATTTATGAAGGATGAGGTTAATCATAGAATTGATGAGGGAAAAAAGGTGAGTGGTGCGTTGAGGTATATGTGGAGTCAAAAAACGTTATCTATGGAGGCAAAGAAGGGAATGTATGAAAGTATAGTAGTACCAACACTCTTATTTGGATGTGAAGCTTGGGTGGTAAATGCAGCAGCGAGGAGACGGTTGGAGGCAGTGGAGATGTCCTGTCTAAGGGCAATGTGTGGTGTAAATATTATGCAGAAAATTCGGAGGTGTGGAAATTAGGAGAAGGTGTGGAGTTAATAAAAGCATTAGTCAGGGGGCAGAAGAGGGGTTGTTGAGGTGGTTTGGTCATTTAGAGAGAATGGATCAAAATAGAATGACATGGAAAGCATATAAATCTATAGGGGAAGGAAGGAGGGGTAGGGGTCGTCCTCGAAAGGGTTGGAAAGAGGGGGTAAAGGAGGTTTTGTGGGCTAGGGGCTTGGATTTCCAGCAAGCGTGCATGAGCGTGTTAGATAGGAGTGAATGGAGGCGAATGATACTTGGGACCTGACGATCTGTTGGAGTGTGAGCAGGGTAATATTTAGTGAAGGGATTCAGGGAAACCGGTTATGTTCATATAGTCGGACTTGAGTCCTGGAAATGGGAAGTACAATGCCTGCACTTTAAAGGAGGGGTTTTAGATATTGGCGGTTTGGAGGGACATGTTGTGTATCTTTATATGTATATGCTTCTAAGCCGTTGTATTCTGAGCACCTCTGCAAAAGCAGTGATAATGTGTGAGTGTGGTGAAAGTGTTGAATGATGATGAAAGTATTTTCTTTTTGGGGATTTTCTTTCTTTTTTGGGTCACCCTGCCTCGGTGGGAGACGGCCGACTTGTTGAAAAAAAAAAAAAAAAAAAAATGTATTCCTGTTAACCCTTTGGGGCCTAGTTCCTAGGCCTTTTGCATATCTATATACTCTTGCACTACCATCCACAGGATGGATATGGGGTGCACAATAAACTAGCCACTTCGGTGGCAAAATCTCTAAAAAAAAATCTAAATCTCTTCAGAGTGCAGGCACTATCCTTCCCACCACCAGGACTCATGTCTGACTAACTGGTTTCCCTGAATCCTTTCATAAAAGTGACCTCGATCAAACTAACAGAGCACATCCATTAAAACTACTTGTCTTGATTCACCATTATTATTATTATTTTAACGCTGGCCATCTCCCACCGAGGCAGCATGACCCTAAAAAGAAACACTTTCCCTATTATTCACACTATTACTGTCCTGCCAGGTAAGTGTAGATGTCCCTCCAAACAGTAAATATCCCAAATCCCTTCTTTAGAGTACAGGCACTGTATTTCCCACCTATGGGACTCAAGTCCAACTAGCCAGTTTTCCTGAATCCCTTCACAAAATCTTACCTTGCTCACACCTTAACAGACCATCTCACACCAATGTAGGGTGATCCAAAAGAGGAAACACATTCACTATAGTTTATTCAATATAACTGTCTTACCAGAAGTACACAGGTATGTACAACAATAGCCTGGAACCTAACCTGCTGTATAAGCAGGGCCCTCCTGTACAACAGTAGCCGGGAACCTAACCTCCAGTGTAAGTGAGACCCTCCTGTACAGCAGTAGCCTGGAGCCCAACCTGCTGTATAAGCAGGGCCCTCCTGTACAGCAGTAGCCTAGAACCTAACCTGCTGTATAAGTGAGACCCTCCTATACAGCAGTAGCCTGGAGCCTAACCTGCTGTATAAGCAGGGCCCTCTGGTACAGCAGTAGCCTGGAACCTAACCTGCTGTATAAGCAGGGCCCTCTGGTACAGCAGTAGCCTGGAGCCTAACCTGCTGTATAAGCAGGGCCCTCTGGTACAGCAGTAGCCTGGAACCTAACCTGCTGTATAAGCAGGGTCCTCCTGTACAGCAGTAGCCTAGAACCTAACCTGCTGTATAAGCGGGGCCCCTTTGGTTACAGCAGTAGCCTGGAGCCTAACCTGCTGTATAAGCAGGGCCCTCTGGTACAGCAGTAGCCTAGAACCTAACCTGCTGTATAAGCAGGGCCCTCTGGTACAACAGTAGCCTGGAACCTAACCTGCTGTATAAGCAGGGTCCTCCTGTACAGCAGTAGCCTGGAACCTAACCTGCTGTATAAGCAGGGCCCTCTGGTACAGCAGTAGCCTGGAGCCTAACCTGCTGTATAAGCAGGGCCCTCTGGTACAGCAGTAGCCTGGAGCCTAACCTGCTGTATAAGCAGGGCCCTCGGGTTTCAGCAGTAGCCTGGAAACCCAAACCCTGCTGTATAAGCGGGGCCCCTCTGGTACAGCAGTAGCCTGGAACCTAACCTGCTGTATAAGCGGGGCTCTCTGGTACAGCAGTAGCCTGGAACCTAACCTGCTGTATAAGCAGGGCCCTCTGGTACAGCAGTAGCCTGGAACCTAACCTGCTGTATAAGCAGGGCCCTCTGGTACAGCAGTAGCCTGGAACCTAACCTGCTGTATAAGCGGGGCCCTCTGGTACAGCAGTAGCCTGGAGCCTAACCTGCTGTATAAGCGGGGCCCTCCTGCACAGCAATTCAGAAGAGCCACTGAACTTTTACATCCCTATAAATCAGGGGTGGGGAACCTCCTGCCTGTGAGCCATATAAGGCCTGCGAAATCATTTGGTCTTGCCCGGCCTAGGCAACTGCAATTGAGATTCAAAATTCAATAAATCTAGCTTTTTTCATAGCAATATAGACTTATATTAACCCTTCCTTATACCGATTTACACCACATAATGAAAAAAAATACAAAACCTAAAATTAAAACAAGTACAGTGTACATGTATGTAGAATTATGAAGATATCTATTAGCTTTTATTCTGATAAATTCTGAATCAGCTTCCCATCCATCGTCTTCTTCATTTTGAACATATTTCCGATGCAACATCATCAATATCAGCTAACATAGTTCCGATGCAACATCATCAATATCAGCTAACATATTTCCGATGCAACATCATCAATATCAGCTAACATATTTCCCGATGCAACATTTTAAATATCAGCTAACATAGTTCCGATGCAACATCATCAATATCAGCTAACATAGTTCCGATGCAACATCATCAATATCAGCTAACATAGTTCCGATGCAACATCATCAATATCAGCTAACATAGTTCCGATGCAACATCATCAATATCAGCTAACATAGTTCCGATGCAACATCATCAATATCAACTAACATCACACGCCTCAACAAAGAGAAGCAATTCCAGTCATTACATTAGGCCTGAGATAATTAAATGTTTGACCAAATATAGCAGGCTAATTTTTAAGATGATAATTTTGTATGGCCCATAAATGATGTTATAAATAACCAAATGGCCCTTGGCAGAAAAAAGGTTCCCCACCCCTGCTATAAATAACAATCACAATAATACTTACACCAGTTTTGAGGTCCACTGTAAACCAACTAGGAACATATATAGGCTTGTTTCTCTTCTCCTTTTCACTTTCAAAATCCACTTTCCCTAATTCTTCTTCTTTCGATGCCTAAAATTATAAAAAAAAATTAAAAATAACATTTGTGATTTATAAAGAGGAAAGTCTTATAAATTATACAATTTTTTTTTTCAACAAGTCGGCCGTCTCCCACCGAGGCAGGGTGACCCCAAAAAGAAAAAAACTTTCATTATCATTCAACACTTTCACCTCACTCACACATAATCACTGTTTTTGCAGAGGTGCCCAGAATAGAACAGTTTAGAAGTATATACGTATAAAAATACAAAATATATCCTGCCAAACTGCCAACATCTCAAACCCCTCCTTTAGAGTGCAGGCATTGTACTTCCCATTTCCAGGACTCAAGTCTGGTTATATAAAATAACCAGTTTCCCTGAATCCCTTCACTAAATATTACCCTGCTCACACTCCAACAGCTCGTCAGGTCCCAAATACCATTCGTCTCCATTCAGTCCTATCTAACACGCTCACGCACGCTTGCTGGAAGTCCAAACCCCTCGCCCACAACACCTCCTTTATCCCCACCCTCCAACCTTTTCGAGGACGACCCTACCCCGCCTTCCTTCCCTACAGATTTTTATGCTCTCCCTGTCATTCTACTTTGATCCATTCTCTCCCAAATGGCCCCAAACCACCTCAAAACCCTCTTCAGCCCTCTGGGCTAATATTTTTATTAACTCCAACCTTTTCCTAATTTCCCCACTCCGAATTTTCTGCATAATATTTACACCACACATTGTCCCTTTTGAAGGACATCTCCCCTGCCTCCAAACCGCCTCCTCGCTGCAGCATTCACAACCAAGCTTCACACCCATATAAGAGTGTTGGTATACTATACTTTCATACATTCCCTTTTTTTGCCTCCACAGATAAAAAATTTTTTCCTCCACATATACCCTTTAAAGCACCACTTTCCTTTTTTTCCCTTTATCAATTCTATGATTAACTCATCCTTCATAAATCCATCCGCTGACACGTCAACTCCCAAGTATCTGAAAACATTCACTTCTTCCATACTCCTCCTCCCCAATTTGATATCCAATTTTTCTTTATCTAAATCATTTGATACTCTCATCACTTTACTCTTTTCTATGTTCACTTTCAACTTTCTACCTTTACACGCACTCCCAAATTCGTCCATTAACCTTTGCAATTTTTCTTTAGAATCTCCCATAAGCACAGTATCATCAGCAAAAAGTAACTGTGTCACTTCCCATTTTGTATTTAATTCCCCATAATTTAATCCCACCCCTCTCCCAAACACCCTAGCATTTACTTCTTTTACAACTCCATCTATAAATATATTAAACAACCATGGTGACATTACACATCCCTGTCTAAGACAGGGATGTAAATACTGTACAATACAAACACATAATATACACACTGTACAAACACAAAATATATACACTGGACAATACTTCCATAATTACAAACACCTGGTCTTAAGTTCCCCATATTGAAATCCTGGACTAAATCCTCCCATATTGAAATCCTGGACTAAATCTTCCCATATTGAAATCCTGGACTAAATCCTCCCATATTGAAATCCTGGACTAAATCCTCCCATATTGAAATCCTGGACTAAATCCTCCCATATTGAAATCCTGGACTAAATCCTCCCATATTGAAATCCTGGACTAAATCCTCCCATATTGAAATCCTGGACTAAATCCTCCCATATTGAAATCCTGGCTTAAATTCTACACAAATAACCCGCACATAGAAGAGAGGAGCTTACGACGACGTTTCGATCCGACTTGGACCACCGACTTGTGACTTTGTAAATGGTCCAAGTCGGATTGAGACGTTGTCATAAGCTCCTTTCTTCTATGTGCGGGTTATTTGTGTATCGTTCCAGTCACGGTATTGTGCCTTTTTTTGTTATTAAATCCTCCCATATTGAAATCCTGGCTTAAGCTCCCCAGATTAAAATCCTGGTTTACACCCTTCCAGATTTAAATCCTAGCTTCACTACTTCCTAATACTGACACTCTGCTTCACTACTTCTTAATACTGACACTCTGCTTCACTACTTCTTAATACTGACACTCTCACACATGCTCAACACATTAACTGAAGGAAATGTTTTGGCACATGTGGCTTTATCAATTCTAATACAGTACTCTCGAACTGTAGAATTATAGGGAAGTAATTCTTTGGCATTAGTCCAATCTACACAGTGAATGAACAAAGCACTAGACTCGTCTCAAAATGCTCAGACACGTTAGTGACTTTCTTTGTGCGTAACAATACTGTATAACATGTAAGCTTCACACTGTATACCTGGAGAGGGTTTCGGGGGTCAACGCCCCTGTGGCCTCGTCTGTATACTCGGTTAAGAAATAAAGTTTGTACAGTGGACCCCCGCTTTACGATCACCTCCCAATGTGACCAATTATGTAAGTGTATTTATGTAAGTGCGTTTGCACGTGTATGTTTGGGGGTCTGAAATGGACTAACCTAATTCACAATATTCCTTATGGGAACAAATTCGGTCAGTACTGGCACCTGAACATACTTCTGGAATGAAATAATATCGCAAACCGGGGGTCCACTGTACAGTGGACCCCCGCATAACGATCACCTCCGAATGCGACCAATTATGTAAGTGTATTTATGTAAGTGCGTTTGTACGTGTATGTTTGAGGGTCTGAAATGGACTAATCTACTTCACAATATTCCTTATGGGAACAAATTCGGTCAGTACTGGCACCTGAACATACTTCTGGAGTGAAATAATATCATAAACCGGGGGTCCACTGTACTTGTCTAGAAGTTATTGCATATTTACGTTACAACTGACACAGCCAATAGGGACAAAACATCTTTACTGTCTTGATTTCTGCATTCATGTTTTATTTTTACAATAGCCATGACATCCTGGCTGCTCTGACACTGCTTGGAAGCAGCAGTCTAGTTCATCACAGCACAATACTAAGTTCTCACAGTACTATACTAAGTTCAAAACTTCCTAAATACTAACTTAACATCTCCCAATATCTCTCTCCTCTACATTCCTCTCTTCTTCAGGTGCACAAACACTTATCATAACCCACTCTTTGCAGCCAACCTTTATTTCATTCTACCTAATCCTTGAATTTTTACATTTATATTCACTAACCTTAAGTATATCCCAGAGAACCACATTCTCCTCTGTGTCACGAGTCAGTAAGTGTCGCTTGTCGTTGAGGACGGTGTACTGCTTGATGGATGGTCCACCCTTGATGGACCAGTCTGGCTGAGTCATGACAGGCTTAAGCTCTTGGTCTTCTTCGTTGTCACAGTAATCTTCAACATGTGATAGTCTGTTGTTTAGAGGCTGTCAACATTAAAAAAAAAGTCTTAATCTTTTACTCAGAAATTAAAAATAAATATAAATTTTTATTTATTCATTTATTAACACACTGGCCGATTCCCACCAAGGCAGGGTGGCCCGAAAAAGAAAAACTTTCACCAACATTCACTCCATCACTGTCTTGCCAGAAGGGTGCTTTACACTACAGTTTTTAAACTGCAACATTAACACCCCTCCTTCAGAGTGCAGGCACTGTACTTCCCATCTCCAGGACTCAAGTCCGGCCTGCCGGTTTCCCTGAACCCCTTCATAAATGTTACTTTGCTCACACTCCAACAGCACGTCAAGTATTAAAAACCATTTGTCTCCATTCACTCCTATCAAACACGCTCACGCATGCCCGCTGGAAGTCCAAGCCCCTCGCACACAAAACCTCCTTTACCCCATCCCTCCAACCTTTCCTAGGCCAACCCCTACCCCGCCTTCCTTCACTACAGACTGATACACTCTTGAAGTCACTCTGTTTCGCTCCATTCTCTCTACATGTCGAACCACCTCAACAACCCTTCCTCAGCCCTCTGGACAACAGTTTTGGTAATCCCGCACCTCCTCCTAACTTCCAAACTACGAATTCTCTGCATTATATTCACACCACACATTGCCCTCAGACATGACATCTCCACTGCCTCCAGCCTTCTCCTCGCTGCAACATTCATCACCCATGCTTCACACCCATATAAGAGCGTTGGTAAAACTATACTCTCATACATTCCCCTCTTTGCCTCCAAGGACAAAGTTCTTTGTCTCCACAGACTCCTAAGTGCACCACTCACCCTTTTCCCCTCATCAATTCTATGATTCACCTCATCTTTCATAGACCCATCCGCTGACACGTCCACTCCCAAATATATGAATACATTCACCTCCTCCATACTCTCTCCCTCCAATCTGATATCCAATCTCTCATCACCTAATCTTTTTGTTATCCTCATAACTTTACTCTTTCCTGTATTCGCTTTCAACTTTCTTCTTTTACATACCCTACCAAATTCATCCACCAACCTCTGCAACTTCTCTTCAGAATCACCCAAGAGCACAGTGTCATCAGCAAAGAGCAACTGTGACAACTCCCACTTTGTGTGTGATTCTTTATCTTTTAACTCCACACCTCTTGCCAAGACCCTCGCATTTACTTCTCTTACAACCCCATCTATAAATATATTAAACAACCATGGTGACATCACACATCCTTGTCTAAGGCCTACTTTTACTGGGAAATAATTTCCCTCTTTCCTACATACTCTAATTTGAGCCTCACTATCCTCGTAAAAACTCTTCACTGCTTTCAGTAACCTACCTCCTACATCATACACATGCAACATCTGGCACATTGCCTCCCTATCCACCCTGTCATACGCCTTTTCCAAATCCATAAATGCCACAAAGACCTCTTTAGCCTTATCTAAATACTGTTCACTTATATGTTTCACTGTAAACACCTGGTCCACACACCCCCTACCTTTCCTAAAGCCTCCTTGTTCATCTGCTATCCTATTCTCTGTCTTACTCTTAATTCTTTTAATAATAACTCTTACCATACACTTTACCAGGTATACTCAACAGACTTATCCCCCTATAATTTTTGCATTCTCTTTTGTCCCCTTTGCCTTTATACAAAGGAACTATGCATGCTCTCTGCCAATCCCTAGGTACCTTACCTTCTTCCATACATTTATTAAATAATTGCACCAACCACTCCAAAAACTATATCCCCACCTGCTTTTAACATTTCTATCTTTATCCCATCAATCCCAATCCCGGCTCTGCCTTACCCCCTTTCATTTTACCTACTGCCTCACGAATTCCCCACACTCACAACTGGCTCTTCCTCACTCCTACAAGATGTTATTCCTCCTTGCCTATACACGAAATCACAGCTTCCCTATCTTCATCAACATTTAACAATTCCTCAAAATATTCCCTCCATCTTCCCAATACCTCTAACTCTCCATTTAATAACTCTCACTCTCCTATTTTTAACTGACAAATCCATTTGTTCTCTAGGCTTCCTTAACTTGTCAATCTCACTCCAAACTTTTTCTTATTTTCAACAAAATTTGTTGATAACATCTCACCCACTCTCTCATTTGCTCTCTTTTTACATTGCTTCACCATCTCTTAACCTCTCTCTTTTTCTCCACATACTCTTCCCTCCTTGCATCACTTCTACTTGTTAAAAACTTCTCATATGCTAACTTTTTCTCCCTTACTACTCTCTTTACATCATCATTCCACCAATCGCTCCCTCTTCCCTCCCGCACCACTTTCCTGTAACCACAAACTTCTGCTGAACACTCTAACATTACATTTTTAAACCTACCCCATACCTCTTCGACCCCATTGCCTATGCTCTCATTAGCCCATCTATCCTCCAATAGCTGTTTTATATCTTACCCTACTGCCTCCTCTTTTAGTTTATAAACCTTCACCTCTCTCTTCCCTGATGCTTCTATTCTCCTTGTATCCCATCTACCTTTTACTCTCAGTGTAGCTACAACTAGAAATTGATCTGATATATCTGTGTCCCCTCTATAAACATGTACATCCTGAAGTCTACTCAACAGTCTTTTATCTACCAATACATAATCCAACAAAGTACTGTCATTTCGCCCTACATCATATCTTGTATACTTATTTATCCTCTTTTTCTTAAAATATGTATTACCTATAACTAAACCCCTTTCTATACTTTTACTGGGAAGTAATCTCCCACTTTCCCACATACTCTAACTTGAGCCTCACTATCCTCGTAAAAACTCTTCACTGCTTTCAGTAACCTACCTCTTATACCATACATCTGTAACATCTCCCACATTGCCCCCCTATCCACCCTGTCATACACCTTTTCCAAATCCATAAATGCCACAAAAACCTCTTTAGCCATATCTAAATACTGTTCACTTATATGTTTCACTGTAAACACCTGGTCCACACACCTGCTACCTTTCCTAAAGCCTCCTTGTTCATCTGCTATATATAAATAGGTTTTCTTATTTTTAGTAAGCTATATAGGAGAAGGGGCTGTAGAGGAAAGATAGGGTTATTATAATAAGATCCTTGTCTGAGTGGCCACAGTAATGGACCCACTACATACACGGATTGCAGTGCAACTATCCAACTCTTGTTTATCCACCAACAGTCATTTACTGCACTTCATCTTCATTTATAAACAAACTTTCATTGTGACTTGCAAACTCACCCAGCATTTTATGGCTGAGTTTGTTGTGGCAACATAGAGAGATGAGTTATCCGGAGTCAGCAGCATCTTGAGTACCGGCGCGGACTCTTGGCACAACAACACGTACTTATCTGGAGTACGGGTCTCACACTTGTAAATGAGTTTATCTCGCCCACCAGAGTACACGCTGGTGAAGGATTCATTGGCCTGAAATGTACACAAAATAAGCTAGAATATATTGAAGAACTAAAAAGTCACAATACTGTGACAAGAACAATACATGAATGACCTGCACATGGGAAGACAAAACTTACGATCATGTTTCGGTCCGAGTTGGACTGAAACATCAAGAGCTTGCTTTCTTTGTGCAGGATATTTGTGTATACAACACGGCATTTTATTAACCCTATGAGGGTCCGTGCCGTAGATCTACGGCTTTACGTTGAGGGTCCAAACCGTAGATCTATGTCAGGAGTTCAGCTTACTCTGATAAGCTGTGAGCAGTAAATTTTTGCCAAAATATGAGAGAATACATCTATGTGGTATGTGTGCACCACATAAAGTAAATCCTGCAGCACACAGTGCATAATGAGAGGAAAAAACTGAGACCGTAATTTTCTATTCAAGCAGCGACTTTGCAGTGTTTTTCCTATGTTTTTTATAGCTGTATTTGCAATTTCTAGGTAGTAGGTTGGTAGACAGCAACCGCCCAGGGAGGTACTACCGTCCTGCCAAGTGAGTGTAAAACGAAAGCCTGTAATTGTTTTACATGATGGTAGGATTGCTGGTGTCCTTTTTTCTGTCTCATGAACATGCAAGATTTCAGGTACGTCTTGCTACTTCTACTTACACTTAGGTCACACTACACATACATGTACAAGCACATATATACACACCCCTCTGGGTTTTCTTCTATTTTCTTTCTAGTTCTTATTCTTGTTTATTTCCTCTTATCTCCATGGGGAAGTGGAACAGAATTCTTCCTCCGTAAGCCATGCGTGTTGTAAGAGGCAACTAAAATGCCGGGAGCAAGGGGCTAGTAACCTCTTCTCCTGTATATATTACTAAATGTAAAAGGAGAAACTTTCGTTTTTCCTTTTGGGCCACCCCGCCTCGGTGGGATACGGCCGGTGTGTTGAAAGAAAGAAAGATTTGCAATTTCTAGGTAGTAGGTTGGTAGACAGCAACCGCCCAGGGAGGTACTACCGTCCTGCCAAGTGAGTGTAAAACGAAAGCCTGTAATTGTTTTACATGATGGTAGGATTGCTGGTGTCCTTTTTTCTGTCTCATGAACATGCAAGTTTTCAGGTACGTCTTGCTACTTCTACTTACACTTAGGTCCCACTACACATACATGTACAAGCACATATATACACACCCCTCTGGGTTTTCTTCTATTTTCTTTCTAGTTCTTATTCTTGTTTATTTCCTCTTATCTCCATGGGGAAGTGGAACAGAATTCTTCCTCCGTAAGCCATGCGTGTTGTAAGAGGCGACTAAAATGCCGGGAGCAAGGGGCTAGTAACCTCTTCTCCTGTATATATTACTAAATGTAAAAGGAGAAACTTTCGTTTTTCCTTTTGGGCCACCCCGCCTCGGTGGGATACGGCCGGTGTGTTGAAAGAAAGAAGATTTGCAATTTCTTGGACTCATTTGATAGACTGGAAGATATATTACAGAAATAGAGATGATTCTGATTGGTTTTAGTACTGAAAATGGCTTGAAACTGAGCTCAAAGTAGCGGAAATGTTAAATTTTTCCCGATGTTCAGGAGTAAACAAATGACCTTACACATCTAATATACGCCAGCTGGTGGGTCTAATATACATTCACAAATGTGTTGATATTATTTATACAATTATTACAACATTGTATGACAGTAAATCTTCTATTTTTTGGTTTGAATAAAAATTCATTATGTGAATAAAAATTAAAAATCAAAATGGAATTCATTAGTAAAGCCTGAAAGCGTAACTAATGAACAGAAGAAATGTTAGTTTAGTGCCAGGAATGTCTGCATTGTTTATTCTGGACCCTATTTTGAAATTGAAGTATTTTGAACTTTGCATTAAATTGGCCAAATTACCAATTTCCGATCACTTTATTTTGTAGCTGAAACAGTTGAGTTGGCGAATTCTTGTGCTCAATTGATAGAATAGAAGTAATACTAGTGAAATAGCTAAGAATTTGGTTGGCTGGAATAATGTAATTGACCTAAAATGGGAGTCAAAGTCAGCAAAATCGCTGATGCGTAAATATTGCTGACACATCAAAATTCGCGAGAGCATAATTTCGTCAATTTTCCATCAAATTTTGTACTTTTTGTTTAATTACCTTCAGAAAAAATATTCTCTACCATTTCATAAGACAAAATAACAAAATTATTTTTTGAAAATTCTTGGACACTGATGCACACTTTGAAATTTGGCCTCTGGACCCTGAAAGGGTTAAAGAATCAAAAGTTTAATATATCTGAAATTAACACAAAAAATACACTAAACTAAAGGATTTGTATTATTACAGAAGTAAATAACACTGTCACTAAGTAAATAAACAAATAATTATTGTAACTAACTTAATACCAGTATTGAAAAGTCAATAAATGAATACAATTTTATTCTATCAATAAATGTACAGTACTGTACAGTACAGAATGTGCATCGCTGTTGCACTATCGTAAAGTCGAAATATCATAAGTTGAACCATCGTAAAGAAGCATCTGTAATAATAATGATGATATTATTATTATTGTAGGTAGTAGGTTGGTATACAGCAACCATCCAGGGAGGTACTACCGTCCTGCCAAGTGAGTGTAAAACGAAAGCCTGTAATTGTTTTACATGATGGTAGGATTGCTGGTGTCTTTTGTCTGTCTCATAAACATGCAAGATTACAGGTACGTCTTGCTACTTCTACTTACACTTAGGTCACACTACACATACATGTACACATTTATTTATACACACTCATCTGAGTTTTCTTTGATTTTATCTTAATAGTTCTTGGTCTTATTACTTTTCCTTTTATATCCATGGGGAAGTGGAATAAGAATCTTTCCTCCGTAAGCCATGCCTGTTGTAAAAGTCAACTAAAATGCCGGGAACAATGGGCTAGTAACCCCTTTTCCTGTAAAGATTACCAAAAAGAATAAGAAGAAAATTGTTTTCTTTCTTTTTTGGGTCACCCTGCCTCGGTGGGAGACGGCCGACTTGTTGAAAAAAAAAAAAAAAAAAAAAAAAAAAAATTATTATTATTATTATTGTATTCACAGTGAAGCTTTAAACCCATAGGGGTCATATAGCACCTGAGCTCAGAATTGGAGGCAATCAGGTTTGATCCAAGGAAGGGGCAGAAAGTTTGCATCATTACAATACCTACTAGGTGAGATTTTGGACACGCGCGCAACACCCGGGTATCTTCATTCGATGACCTTTTCCAAATTCATCAACACTTAGGTACTGAGCTCTGGCTTCCAGGCTGAGGGACTGACTGCCTGATCTTCTACTGTCTTGGTATATAGTCACTATTTTGAACTGAAAAAGCTACTGGTTGGCAAAATGTCTTCAGAAGAACCAGGTATTGTACTTGCATCTAATACCTTATTTCTGATGCCTTGGATTAAGAGCCCTTCTCCAGTATTACGGCATCAATCACCCTTAAAGGAAGAGCATGTGAGTGGGAGATATAACCAGTACCTTTATTATTATTTTATTATTATCACACTGACCGATTCCCACCAAGGCAGGGTGGCCCGAAAAAGAAAAACTTTCACCATCATTCACTCCATCACTGTCTTGCCAGAAGGGTGCTTTACACTACAGTTTTTAAACTGCAACATTAACACCCCTCCTTCAGAGTGCAGGCACTGTACTTCCCATCTCCAGGACTCAAGTCCGGCCTGCCGGTTTCCCTGAACCCCTTCATAAATGTTACTTTGCTCACACTCCAACAGCACGTCAAGTATTAAAAACCATTTGTCTCCATTCACTCCTATCAAACACGCTCACGCATGCCTGCTGGAAGTCCAAGCCCCTCGCACACAAAACCTCCTTTACCCCCTCCCTCCAACCTTTCCTAGGCCGACCCCTACCCCGCCTTCCTTCCACTACAGACTGATACACTCTTGAAGTTATTCTGTTTCGCTCCATTCTCTCCACATGTCCGAACCACCTCAACAACCCTTCCTCAGCCCTCTGGACAACAGTTTTGGTAATCCCGCACCTCCTCCTAACTTCCAAACTACGAATTCTCTGCATTATATTCACACCACACATTGCTCTCAGACATGACATCTCCACTGCCTCCAGCCTTCTCCTCGCTGCAACATTCATCACCCATGCTTCACACCCATATAAGAGCGTTGGTAAAACTATACTCTCATACATTCCCCTCTTTGCCTCCAAGGACAAAGTTCTTTGTCTCCACAGACTCCTAAGTGCACCACTCACCCTTTTCCCCTCATCAATTCTATGATTCACCTCATCTTTCATAGACCCATCCGCTGACACGTCCACTCCCAAATATCTGAATACCTATGGGAGATATAACCAGTACCTATGGGAGATGTAACCAGTACCTATGGGAGATATAACCAGTACCTATGGGAGATATAACAAGTACCTATGGGAGATATAACCAGTACCTATGGGAGATGCAACCAGTACCTATGGGAGATATAACCAGTACCTATGGGAGATATAACCAGTACCTATGGGAGATATAACCAGTACCTATGGGAGATGTAACCAGTACCTATAGGAGATATAACCAGTACCTATGGGAGATATAACCAGTATCTATGGGAGAAATAACCAGTACCTATGGGAGATATAACCAGTATTATGGAACATATAACTAGTACTATGGAACATATAACCAGTATTCTTCTTTCTTCTTTCAACAAACCAGCCATATCCCACCAAGGCGGGGTGGCCCAAAAAGAAAAACAAAAGTTTCTCTTTTTAAATTTAGTAATTTATACAGGAGAAGGGGTTACTAGCCCCTTGCTCCCAGCATTTTAGTCACCTCTTACAACACGTATGGCTTACGGAGGAAGAATTCTGTTCCACTTCCACATAGAGATAAGAGGAAATAAGCAAGAACAAGAACTAGAAAGAAAACAGCAGAAAACCCAGAGGTGTGTGTATATATATGCTTGTACATGTATAAGAAGAAGAAAATTGTCAAAGTGGGAAGTCTGAATGTGCGTGGATGTTGTGCAGATGATAAGAAAGAGATGATTGTGGATGTTATGAATGAGAAGAAGCTGGATGTCCTGGCTTTAAGTGAAACAAAGCTGAAGGGGGTGGGAGAGTTTCAGTGGAGAGGAATAAATGGGATTAGGTCAGGGGTTTCAAATAGAGTTAGAGCTAAAGAAGGAGTAGCAATAATGTTGAAGGATAAGCTATGGCAGGAAAAGAGGGACTATAAATGTATTAATTCAAGGATTATGTGGAGTAAAATAAAGATTGGATGTGAAAAGTGGGTTATAATAAGCGTGTATGCACCTGGAGAAGAGAGAAGTGTAGAGGAGAGAGAGAGATTTTGGGAAATGTTGAGTGAATGCGTGGGGAGTTTTGAATCAAGTGTGAGAGTAATGGTGGTTGGGGATTTCAATGCTAAAGTGGGTAAAAATGTTATGGAGGGAGTAGTAGGTAAATTTGGGGTGCCAGGGGTAAATGTAAATGGGGAGCCTTTAATTGAGCTATGTGTAGAAAGAAATTTGGTAATAGTAATACATATTTTATGAAAAAGAGGATAAATAAATATACAAGGTATGATGTAGCCGTAATGAAAGTAGTTTATTAGATTATGTATTGGTGGATAAAAGGTTGATGGGTAGGCTCCAGGATGTACATGTTTATAGAGGGGCAACTGATACATCGGATCATTATTTAGTTGTAGCTACAGTTAGAGTAAGAGGTAGATGGGAAAAGAGGAAGGTGGCAACAACAAAGTAAGAGGGAGGTGAAAGTGTATAAACTAAGGGAGGAGGAAGTTCGGGCGAGATATAAGCGACTATTGGCAGAAAGGTGGGATAGTGCAAAGATGAGTAATGGGGGGGTTGAAGAGGGTTGGAATAGTTTTAAAAATGCAGTATTAGAATGTGGGCAGAAGTTTGTGGTTATAGGAGGGTGGGTGCAGGAGGAAAGAGGAGTGATTGGTGGAATGATGAAGTAAAGGGTGTGATAAAAGAGAAAAAGGTAGCTTATGAGAGGTTTTTACAAAGCAGAAGTGTTATAAGAAGAGCAGAATATATGGAGAGTAAAAGAAAGGTAAAGAGAGTGGTGAGAGAGTGCAAAAGGAGAGCAGATGATAGAGTGGGAGAGGCACTGTCAAGAAATTTTAATGAAAATAAGAAAAAATTTTGGAGTGAGTTAAACAAGTTAAGAAAGCCAAGGGAAAATATGGATTTGTCAGTTAAAAACAGAGTAGGGGAGTTAGTAGATGGGGAGATGGAGGTATTAGATAGATGGCGAGATATTTTGAGGAACTTTTAAATGTTAAGGAAGAAACAGAGGCAGTAATTTCATGCACTGGTCAGGGAGGTATACCATCTTTTAGGAGTGAAGAAGAGCAGAATGTAAGTGTGGGGGAGGTACGTGAGGCATTACGTAAAATGAAAGGGGGTAAAGCAGCTGGTACTGATGGGATCATGACAGAAATGTTAAAAGCAGGGGGGGATATAGTGTTGGAGTGGTTGGTACTTTTGTTCAATAAATGTATGAAAGAGGGGAAGGTACCTAGGGATTGGCGGAGGGAGCATGTATAGTCCCTTTATATAAAGGGAAAGGGGACAAAAGAGACTGTAAAAATTATAGAGGAATAAGCTTACTGAGTATACCAGGAAAAGTGTACGGTAGGGTTATAATTGAAAGAATTAGAGGTAAGACAGAATGTAGGATTGCGGATGAGCAAGGAGGTTTCAGAGTGGGTAGGGGATGTGTAGATCAAGTGTTTACATTGAAGCATATATGTGAACAGTATTTTGATAAAGGTAGGGAAGTTTTTATTGCATTTATGGATTTAGAAAAGGCATATGATAGAGTGGATAGAGGAGCAATGTGGCAGATGTTGCAAGTATTGGAATAGGTGGTAAGTTATTAAATGCTGTAAAGAGTTTTTATGAAGTAGTGAGGCTCAGGTTAGGGTGTGTAGAAGAGAGGGAGACTATTTCCCGGTAAAAGTAGGTCTTAGACAGGGATGTGTGATGTCACCATGGTTGTTTAATATATTTATAGATGGGGTTGTTAAGGAAGTAAATGCTAGGGTGTTTGGGAGAGGGGTGGGATTAAATTATGGGGAATCAAATTCAAAATGGGAATTGACACAGTTACTTTTTGCTGATGATACTGTGCTTATGGGAGATTCTAAAGAAAAATTGCAAAGGTTAGTGGATGAGTTTGGAATGTGTTGTAAAGGTAGAAAGTTGAAAGTGAACATAGAAAAGAGTAAGGTGATGAGGGTGTCAAATGATTTAGATAAAGAAAATTGGATATCAAATTGGGGAGGAGGGGTATGGAAGAAGTGAATGTTTTCAGATACTTGGGAGTTGACGTGTCGGCGGATGGATTTATGAAGGAGAGGTTAATCATGAATTGATGAGGGAAAAAAGGTGAGTGGTGCGTTGAGGTATATGTGGAGTCAAAAAACGTTATCTATGGAGGCAAAGAAGGGAATGTATGAAAGTATAGTAGTACCAACACTCTTATATGGGTGTGAAGCTTGGGTGGTAAATGCAGCAGCGAGGGAGACGGTTGGAGGCAGTGGAGATGTCCTGTTTAAGGGCAATGTGTGGTGTAAATTATGCAGAAAATTCGGAGTGTGGAAATTAGGAGAAGGTGTGGAGTTAATAAAAGTATTAGTCAGAGGGCAGAAGAGGGGTTGTTGAGGTGGTTTGGTCATTTAGAGAGAATGGATCAAAGTAGAATGACATGGAAAGCATATAAATCTATAGGGGAAGGAAGGCGGGGTAGGGGTCGTCCTCGAAAGGGTTGGAGAGAGGGGGTAAAGGAGGTTTTGTGGGTAAGGGGCTTGGACTTCCAGCAAGCGTGCGTGAGCGTGTTAGATAGGAGTGAATGGAGACGAATGGTACTTGGGACCTGACGATCTGTTGGAGTGTGAGCAGGGTAATATTTAGTGAAGGGATTCAGGGAAACCGGTTATTTTCATATAGTCGGACTTGAGTCCTGGAAATGGGAAGTACAATGCCTGCACTTTAAAGGAGGGGTTTGGGATATTGGCAGTTTGGAGGGATATGTTGTGTATCTTTATATGTGTATGCTTCTAGACTGTTGTATTCTGAGCACCTCTGCAAAAACAGTGATAATGTGCAAGTGTGGTGAAAGTGTTGAATGATGATGAAAGTATTTTCTTTTTGGGGATTTTCTTTCTTTTTTGGGTCACCCTGCCTCGGTGGGAGACGGCCGACTTGTTGAAAAAAAAAAAAAAAAAAAAACATGTATGTGTAGTGTGACCTAAGTGTAAGTAAAAGTAGCAAGACATACCTGAAATCTTGTATGTTTATGAGACAGAAAAAAGGACACCAGCAATCCTACCATCATGTAAAACAATTACAGGCTTTCATTTTACACTCACTTGGCAGGAAGGTAGTACCTCCCTGGGCGGTTGCTGTCTACCAACCTACTACCTAGGATAACCAGTACAGTGGACCCCCGCATAACGATTACCTCTGAATGCGACCAATTATGTAAGTGTATTTATGTAAGTGCATTTGTACGTGTGTGTTTGGGGGTCTGAAATGGACTAATCTACTTCACAATATTTCTTATGGGAACAAATTCGGTCAGTACTGGCACCTGAACATACTTCTGGAGTGAAAAAATATCGTTAACCGGGGGTCCACTGTATTATGGAACATATAACCAGTACTATGGAACACATAACCAGTACCTGAAGTGCCCAGACACCTTCTTCGTGGATCCTGATGGTCTTGATGCAGCGTTGCTGACCTAACGACCACAGTTTAATGGTGCCATCGGAGCTGCCAGATACAGCTTGAGTGCCGTCACGGTTGACTATCAGTGCCTTTACGTTGTCCGTGTGACCTACATGGAAGATAAACGTCCAGTCAGTTTTGCGTGAATCATAAAAAATTACTGATAAATCCTCAACAGAATTCTCTGATTTTAAACTTAAATAAGAGTGAACCCGGTATACAGGAGGGCCCTGCTTATATAGCAGGTTAGGTCCCAGGCTACTGTAGAACCCCGCTTATACAGTAGATTAGGTTCCAGGCTACTGTAGAAACCCGCTTATACACCAGGTTAGGTTCCTGGCTGCTGTAGGGCCCCTGCTTATACAGAAGGTCAGGTTCCAGGCTACTGTAGGGCTCCGCTTATACAGCAGGTCAGGTTCCAGGCTACTGTAGGGCTCTGCTTATACAACAGGTCAGGTTCCAGGCTACTGTAGGGCTCCGCTTATACAGCAGGTCAGGTTCCAGGCTACTGTAGGGCTCTGCTTATACAACAGGTCAGGTTCCAGGCTACTGTAGGGCTCCGCTTATACAGCAGGTCAGGTTCCAGGCTACTGTAGGGCTCTGCTTATACAACAGGTCAGGTTCCAGGCTACTGTAGGGCTCCGCTTATACAGCAGGTCAGGTTCCAGGCTACTGTAGGGCTCTGCTTATACAACAGGTCAGGTTCCAGGCTACTGCAGGGCTCCGCTTATACAGCAGGTCAGGTTCCAGGCTACTGCTGTAAAGCAGTAGCATTTTTAAATGCATATAAAAGCCTGACAACATGTTTACACTATCATATATTAAGTGAGCAATATAGCTAGGCCTAAAAAATGTATATACAGTACACATATTACTTACCTTAAAATATTTTATCCTTAGCTTATAGTGACTGGTGAATATATTTATGGTAGGAAGTCTGAATAAATAAAGAATGGGTATAACTGAAAACCACTGTATTAGTGAAATGCCATAAAGTGAAGTGTTGTAAAGTCAGGCCCTCCTGTATAATGAACAGGGGGCTGGTTTACTGTAGTTAGTGCTGTAAAGTCAGGGCCTCCTGTATAATGAACAGGGGGCTGGTTTACTGTAGTTAGTGCTGTAAAGTCAGGCCCTCCTGTATAATGAACAGGGGGCTGGTTTACTGTAGTTAGTGCTGTAAAGTCAGGCCCTCCTGTATAATGAACAGGGGGCTGGTTTACTGTAGTTAGTGCTGTAAAGTCAGGCCCTCCTGCATAATGAACAGGGGGCTGGTTTACTGTAGTTAGTGCTGTAAAGTCAGGCCCTCCTGTATAATGAACAGGGGGCTGGTTTACTGTAGTGCTGTAAAGTCAGGCCCTCCTGTATAATGAACAGGGGGCTGGTTTACTGTAGTTAGTGCTGTAAAGTCAGGGCCTCCTGTATAATGAACAGGGGGCTGGTTTACTGTAGTTAGTGCTGTAAAGTCAGGCCCTCCTGTATAATGAACAGGGGGCTGGTTTACTGTAGTTAGTGCTGTAAAGTCAGGCCCTCCTGTATAATGAACAGGGGCTGGTTTACTGTAGTTAGTGCTGTAAAGTCAGGCCCTCCTGCATAATGAACAGGGGGCTGGTTTACTGTAGTTAGTGCTGTAAAGTGAGGCCCTCCTGTATAATGAACAGGGGGCTGGTTTACTGTAGTGCTGTAAAGTCAGGCCCTCCTGTATAATGAACAGGGGGCTGGTTTACTGTAGTTAGTGCTGTAAAGTCAGGCCCTCCTGTATAATGAACAGGGGGCTGGTTTACTGTAGTTAGTGCTGTAAAGTCAGGGCCTCCTGTATAATGAACAGGGGGCTGGTTTACTGTAGTTAGTGCTGTAAAGTCAGGCCCTCCTGTATAATGAACAGGGGGCTGGTTTACTGTAGTTAGTGCTGTAAAGTCAGGCCCTCCTGTATAATGAACAGGGGGCTGGTTTACTGTAGTTAGTGCTGTAAAAGTCAGGCCCTCCTGTATAATGAACAGGGGGCTGGTTTACTGTAGTTAGTGCTGTAAAGTCAGGCCCTCCTGTATAATGAACAGGGGGCTGGTTTACTGTAGTTAGTGCTGTAAAGTCAGGCCCTCCTTTATAATGAACAGGGGGCTGGTTTACTGTAGTTAGTGCTGTAAAGTCAGGCCCTCCTGTATAATGAACAGGGGGCTGGTTTACTGTAGTTAGTTCTGTAAAGTCAGGCCCTCCTGTATAATGAACAGGGGGCTGGTTTACTGTAGTTAGTGCTGTAAAGTCAGGCCCTCCTGTATAATGAACAGGGGGCTGGTTTACTGTAGTTAGTGCTGTAAAGTCAGGCCCTCCTGTATAATGAACAGGGGGCTGGTTTACTGTAGTTAGTGCTGTAAAGTCAGGGCCTCCTGTATAATGAACAGGGGCTGGTTTACTGTAGTTAGTGCTGTAAAGTCAGGCCCTCCTGTATAATGAACAGGGGGCTGGTTTACTGTAGTTAGTGCTGTAAAGTCAGGCCCTCCTGTATAATGAACAGGGGCTGGTTTACTGTAGTTAGTGCTGTAAAGTCAGGCCCTCCTGTATAATGAACAGGGGGCTGGTTTACTGGAGTTAGTGCTGTAAAGTCAGGCCCTCCTGTATAATGAACAGGGGGCTGGTTTACTGTAGTTAGTGCTGTAAAGTCAGGCCCTCCTGTATAATGAACAGGGGGCTGGTTTACTGTAGTTAGTGCTGTAAAGTCAGGCCCTCCTGTATAATGAACAAGGGGCTGGTTTACTGTAGTTAGTGCTGTAAAGTGAGGCCCTCCTGTATAATGAACAGGGGGCTGGTTTACTGTAGTTAGTGCTGTAAAGTCAGGGCCTCCTGTATAATGAACAGGGGGCTGGTTTACTGTAGTTAGTGCTGTAAAGTCAGGCCCTCCTGTATAATGAACAGGGGGCTGGTTTACTGTAGTTATTAAGACAGACTCACCTGAACAGTAGGACTCACAACAATGGCAACATAACTACTGACCAAGACAACATTAATATTCAATGTACATGTTGTATGTTATAATACATTGTACCATAGAGTACAAAATGTTACAATATATGTACTGTACTACAGAGTACTGTATGTTATAATATACTGTACTACAGAGTACAGCATTCCAAATATATTATACTTATCAAGTACAATGCTGTACACATTAAGCACTGATATTATTTGTGACTTAAAATGAACATTACTATATATAAAACAGTGGGTATATATTCTTCAACAAAAAATAAAATTCAATAAGGAATATGGTTCAGGAATGCATCTCTGATTATAACATGTGTGTCTGTGGGACATGAAGTTCCCAGATCTGAACACTTCAGGAATGTATCTCTGATTATAACATGTGTCTGTGGGACAAGAAATTCCCAGTTCTGAATACCTCAGTTCATAAATGAATCTCTTTTTATACCTTGTCGGTTTTTCAAACCATTCATCACAACTGTCAGACACGGCAGCATCATGGGGTCTTGTTACAAAGAATTCTTCAACACTTGTTCAACCTTTGGACGAAGACCTACTTCGACTAGTGGATGGTACCACTATGACCCCGCCTCCACCTGCTTCACGTCACCTCACTACAGTATATAAGCCACGTCTACGGCCCTATGCTGTACATTCTACAAGATTGATGGACTGAACACATCGACTCCAGGTTGAGGGACTGATTACCTCATTCTCCTCCTCTCCTTATGCCTTCCTCTTTGTATTGGACTGATGAAGCCACTGTGTGGCGAAACGTTTCCTGAATAAAGATTCGCATATGCTGCATAAGTGTCTCAATCTTCAACTTGTCGGTTTTTCAAACCATTCATCACAAACCATTCATCACATACCTAAAGTATAAACTTTAAGTTTCTGGACTATAACAAGGTATAGGAGGTCACCTATTAACAAGTGCCTCAAGTTAAACACATCAACACTTACAGTACCTGACCTGACCCAACACCACCTGCCTTCCTTCCCACCATGCTTTATATTCCATTTTTCATGTATACTATGAACCTGTTAAAATCCCCATTGGGTAAAACATTATATTTATTAGAGGATACAACCAACATCTTCTATGGGCTCACACACTGAGGTCTGGGGGTTAATCCCCGGTATGGGAGGAAACATTCGGACGTTTCCTTTAGACACCTGCTGTCCATGTTCACCTAGCAGTAAAACAGGTACCTGGATGTTAGTCTACTAGTGTGGGTGGCATCCTAGGGACAAAATGGACCTAATTTACAGGAAATGTTCTGCATAACAAGTGGCTTTCTATATAATAGTATGTCATTGATGGCAGCTAGGCCTGTATACCTTGTACATGTACTTGTATACCTTGTACATGTACTTGTATACCTTGTACATGTACTTGTAGAAATGAATAATATTATTATTACCTTTGAGTTTCATGAGCTTGTTACCGGTGCGAGGGTCCCACACTCTAAGTTGTTTCTCAGTACTGCCACTTACAATGACAGTGCCAGGGGCATTCATAGCCAAACTATAGATAGAATCTTTATTGCCATTTAATGATGAAGCTGAAAAAATAAAGAAAAATTATTTTATTGTATGTATTTTTTTATAAACACACCAGCCATTTCCCACTAAGGTAGGATGACCTTTCACCCACCACCAAAAAATAAAAAAAAAGAGGAAATATATTCACTGTCACTCAATCAGTCCCTACCTTGCCAGTGTGTGGATACTGCAGTTCAGGAAGCCCTCTAAACTGCAGCATCCTCATTCATCCTTCAGAGTGCTGGCACTGTACTTCCCAACTCCAGAACTGCAGCCTCCTCACTCACCCTTTACAGTGCAGGCACTGTACTTCCCACCTCCAGAACTGTAACATCCTCACTCATCCTTCACAATATACAGTACCTTCCACTTCCAGAACTATAACATCCTCACTCATACTTCAGAGTGCAGGCACTGTATTTCCCACCTCCAGAACTGTAACATCCTTACTCATCCTTCAGAGTGTAGGCACTGATTGAACTCGCACTAACACCTGGCTGTATTCATACTAAAAGCAATCGCAGGTTCTCTTACTTGTGACAGTATTGTTGCTAGCTGTGAGTGCAGTCAAGGTTTGTACATCCCAGAGAAAGATTGCCTTGTCTAGTCCAGCAGACGCTACTTGCTCTCGGTCGCGAGCATACGCCAGGGCCTTGACGTAATCTTTGTGAGTTCGCAGAGTTGACATGCAGAAACCCTGTAAAAACATCAAATTAATCTAGTATAAATCCTTAATGACCATGTGTGTCATAAGAGGTGACTAAAATGCCAGAAGCAAGGGGCTAGTAACCCTTTATCATGTATGAATTGCTAAATTTTAAGAGCGAAACTTTCGTTTTTCTTTTTAGGTCACCCTCCCTTGGTGGTATATGGCCAGCTTGTGAAAAAAAACCTCATCAACAATAATTAAAAAAAATTTAACAAACCGGCCATCTCCCACTGAGGTGGGGGATAACCCAAAAAAAGAATAAACACTTCTGCTGTCATTCATTCAATCACTGTCTTGGTATAAACCTTGGTAATAAATACCGACAAGTTGGTTTAGAAAGACACGTAAGCAAACACTATAACATATTTATTAGAAAACGTTTCGGTCCTGGGACCTTGATCACTTCTAACATACAGAGGTCGAAAGACATTATATATATAGGCGGAGAGTGAGATGTGATGCATGTGACCTGAGGAATGTCATAAGAACATAAGAATGGAGGAACACTGTACAAGGTCTACTGGCTCATGCGAGGCAGGTCTTTATCAAAACAACCTCTACCTATGATGAGGATGGGTAGACGATGAAATCATGTGACTCCTGTGTTGTTGGGTTGGTGCTGCTTAAGTATCATGTATGCCAATGTTTTTGAAATTTTGTAGTTTCCAGTGTTGAGTTCTATAGTGTCGGTGACGGCGATTAGTGAGGCTTCTAGGCACCGTCGGTGTCTGAGGTCTGGTTCGGTGAGAACTGGAATGAGGCACAACACATTCTCACCGAACCAGACCTCAGATGCCGACGGTGCCTAGAAGTCTCACTAATCGCCGTCACCGACACTATAGAACGCAACACTGGAAACTACAAAATTTCAAAAACATTGGCATACATGATACTTAAGCAGCACCAACCCAACAACACAGGAGTCACATGATTTCACCGTCTACCCGTCCTCATCATAGGTAGAGGTTGTTTTAATAAAGACCTGCCTCGCATGAGCCAGTAGACCTTCTACAGTGTTCCTCCATTCTTATGTTCTTATGACATTCCTCAGGTCACATGCATCACATCTCACTCTCCGCCTATATATATAATGTCTTTCGACCTCTGTATGTTAGAAGTGATCAAGGTCCCAGGACCGAAACGTTTTCTAATAAATATGTTATAGTGTTTGCTTACGTGTCTTTCTAAACCAATCACTGTCTTGCCAGAGGTGTACTGACATCCCAACTCAGCTGACCCTCTGAATTGCAATATCCTCACACCTACTTCACTGTACCTCCCATCTCCAGGACTCAAGTCCAGCTCATACTACCATCCTTATTATTATTATTATTATTATTATTATTATTATTATTATTATTATCATTTTTTTTTTAACAAGTCGGCCGTCTCCCGCCAAGGCAGGGTGACCCAAAAAAGAAAGAAAAATCCCCAAAAAGAAAATATTTTCATCATCATTCAACACTTTCACCTCACTCAAACATAATCACTGTTTTTGTAGAGGTGCTCAGAACACAACAGCTTAGAAGCATATACCTATAAAGATACACAACATACCCTCCAAACTGCTAATATCCCAAACCCCTCCTTTAAAGTGCAGGCATTGTACTTCCCATTTCCAGGACTCAAGTCCGGCTATATAAAAATAACCGGTTTCCCCGAATCCCTTCACTAAATATTACTCTGCTCACACTCCAACAGATCGTTAGGTCCCAAATACCATTCGTCTCCATTCACTCCTATCTAACATGCTCGCGCATGCTTGCTGGAAGTTCAAGCCCCTCGCCCACAAAACCTCCTTTACCCCCTCTCTCCAACCTTTTCGAGAACGACCCCTACCCCGCCTTCCTTCCCCTACAGATTTATATGCTCTCCATGTCATTCTACTGTGATCCATTCTCTCTAAATGACCAAACCACCTCAACAACCCCTCTTCTGCCCTCTGACTAATACTTTTATTAACTCCACGCCTTCTCCTAATTTCCACACTCCGAATTTTCTGCATAATATTTACACCACACATTGCTCTTAGACAGGACATCTCCACTGCCTCCAACTGCCTCCTCGCTGCTGCATTCACAACCCAAGCTTCACACACATTTTTCACACACATTTTTTAATATATCAGCCGTTTCCCACTGAGGCAGGGTGACCCAAAAAAGAAGAAACACTTTCATCATCACTCACTCCATCACTCCAAAACTGCAGCATATCTCTACCCTTCATTACTATTATTATTATAATTATTATTATATTCAAAGAAAAAGTGCTAAAACCCATAAGGATCATAGGTCACTACAACAGTAGCATAAAAACGTACCTTGTGAGCATTCCATACTTTGACAGTAGTATCTGAACTAGCCGATATTACTGTAAATGATAAAATTAACCAAATTAATCACAGGATACATTTTTAAATTAACAAAATTAACTACCAGATACATTTTAATTACTGTAAATTATCAAAAAAAATCTCTGCAAGGTACTGAATTTTATCAATGGAAACATTACTTTTAACTTACAATTTTTACCCCCACAACAGAGTACGATGTCATTAACCCAGTCAGTGTGGTGTTCCATTGACTGGATATATGGTTCTTTCTGGTTCTTGCAGTTCCATATTCTTATGATAGAGTCACGGCCAGCGGAATACAAACGCTGGAGGTATGGATCGTATTGTAGTGAGTTGACAGACGATCGATGGAACTTCTCCACTTCATCACGAATGACAAAAGAAATCTGAAAAAAATTAAGATGACTACGTGGGTGGTCCTCGACTTATGATGTGGGTGTGTTTTGATGAACCCATCGTAAATAAAAAATATCACGTGTCAAAAATATTTTAAGCTGAAAACATCCTAAGTCGAAAACATAAGTTGAAAATATTGTGCTGGAAATATCGTGTCGAAAATATCCTAATCAAAAATATCTCGTCAAAAATTAATATGTAAATGCTAAATAAATAAGTAAATAAATAACTACTGTCACTAAGTAAGTAAATAAACAAATAATTACAAAAAGTGGCCAAACTTTTATAGCCACTGCAGAAAAATTACATATTTGTCAGTTTTAAGCATTTTACAATGACTTTCCTTTATAATGTTTGATGAAGAGTAATTCCTGGCAAGGGGTTCAGCTGAAGCCCTTGCTAAGAAACTTCCTCATTATTATCCTACATAACAACACACATATTCACTCATCTCATACAGGTCCATCTCAGATCCAACCTGTCCAACATTATCCATCTGACTCTCTACACTCTCATCACATAATGACGGGGTTCCGTTCCTAAGAGTAGATTGGTAAGCAAACTCGTCGCTAAGTGAGGAGCATACTATAATATTAGTGGGTTTGTGTCGACCATCTTTGATACTGTTTTAATGCCACCTTTGCACCATTTATAACATTTCTGGTATATTTTTAAATGTTTATACAGCAGTGTATATTGTAATAAACAGAATAGAGGAAATCAGCTGTAATATACACATTATTTAGGTTTGTGTAATGGTAAGAGAGCCCGTCGTAAGTTCGAGTTGTCGGTAAACGAGTACGTCACTAAGTGAGGAGAGGCTATACTCATGTACTATTCACAAACATAGATCTGTTTGTGACGTGATAAAGTCCACTGTGTGGGTGAAATGTAGTGAATAAAGGATCACATTATACTGCATATGTGTTATTTTTCCAAAATTTAGTCATGCTAGTGTGCTCAACCTCATGACAACAATGCCATCTTGTAGGACACTGATGAGTCTCATAGCTCAGTGGTAGCGTTTCGCTCACTTAAAGGGGGGCACAGGTGGCTGGTAATGGCAACTGAAGTGGACAGAGATGAGATTGTTTCGCCACAAATACAACAATAATGAACAATTCTGCATCCAACAGATTCTGTCCCAGTGTTTCCGAATCGACTGACCCAGAGGACACTGTCCGTATCCCCATACTGTATTAATTGAAGTTCTATGGTACACAGCCTTATATCTTGGGCAAGGTAAATTAACTCAATTATTTCTTAGTCTCATGTACCATGTACTCTTAATCAACTTTCTATTTTTGTAACACATCGGCCATTTCCCACCAAGGCAGAACCAAAAATGAAACACTTCCATCATTACTCACTCCATCACTGTCTTGCCAGAGGCATGCTGATACTACACCTCACAAACTGCAGTTTGTGAACTGTAGTATACATACATATATTTGTTATGTTCATTAAGATTACCTTTATTCTATGTTTAACTTCAAACTTGTATACATATACGTAAAATGTGTATTATGGTCCATGACGTTGTTAATCTTAGGGTTAAGCTCATCCAAAATGCTCGGAATAACCTGGGTTTTTCACATGTGCTAATTAATGCTATACAATTTTGTAAAATTCTGTAAGAATTTTGTAAAATTCTGTAGTGAATTATGTTAAAATAGAGCATTTACTTTATTTTATATGATCAATTCTCCTTACACATGTTGCTATGATGACCTAGCAGTAAATAGGTACCTGGGTGTCAGTTACCTCCTGTAGGTCACCCCCTACGATCAAGCACCTATGGACCACAATGAGAAAATATCCACACTGCTTGGCTTTCATGGGTTATCCTGGCTTATCAACCCTCTGAGGTTAGCTCAGTTTTATATACTGTACAAGCCAGGTGAAGGTGATGGATTTTTTTTTTTTTTTTTTTTTGAAAATCATTAGGTATAGCTCTCTCTCTCCCCCTCGACTAACACTGACGGCCATCCTCATGCCAATGCTAATTACAATATATACCCAGTAGACTTGATTTTCACATCTTCATCATCACTGTCATTGTAAAAATAATAATACAGTGGACCCCCGCATAACGATCACCTCCGAATGCGACCAATTATGTAAGTGTATTTATGTAAGTGCATTTGTACGTGTATGTTTGGGGGTCTGAAATGGACTAATCTACTTCACAATATTCCTTATGGGAACAAATTCGGTCAGTACTGGCACCTGAACATACTTCTGGAGTGAAAAAATATCGTTAACCGGGGGTCCACTGTAATAATAATAATCTTTCTTCTTCTTTCAACACACCGGCTGTATCCCACCAAGGCGGGGTGGCCCAAAAGGAGAAACGAAAGTTTCTCCTTTTACATTTAGTAATACAGTGGACCCCCGCTTAACGATCACCTCCAAATGCGACCAATTATGTAAGTGTATTTATGTAAGTGCGTTTGTACGTGTATGTTTGGGGGTCTGAAATGGACTAATCTACTTCACAATATTTCTTATGGGAAAAAATTCGGTCAGTACTGGCACCTGAACATACTACTGGAATGAAAAAAGTTCGTTAACCGGGGGTCCACTGTATATACAGGAAAAGGGGTTACTAGCCCCTTGCTCAATAATAATAATACAGTGGACCTTCAACCAACAATGGCATCGATTAACAATAAATCCGACTAGCGATACATTTTAACGCCAAAATTTTGCCTCGACTAGCGCTAAAAAACTCGACCAACACTATTCGTTCCATCTGAGACGCGTCCACTTCTGGCCAGTGTTTACAAGCCAGCCAGCCACAGTGGTCGCTTCCAAGCATACAATCGGAACATTTCATATTATCACAGCCTTTTTAGTGATTGCACCTGCAAAATAAGTGACCATGGGCCCCAAGAAAGCTTCTAGTGCCAACCCTACAGCAAAAAGGGTGAGAATTACTGTGGATATGAAGAAAGAGATTATTGCTAAGTATGAAAGTGGAGTGTGTGTCTCCGAGCTGGCCAGGTTGTACACAAAACCCCAATCAACCATCGCTACTATTGTGGGCAAGAAAACGGCAATCAAGGAAGCTGTTCTTGCCAAAGGTGCAACTATGTTTTCAAAACAGATCGCAAGTACTCGAAGATGTTGAGAGACTGTTATTGGTGTGGATAAACAAAAAACAGATAGCAGGAGATAGCATCTCTCAAGCGATCATATGTGAAAAGGCTAGGAAGTTGCATGGCGATTTAATTAAAAAAATGCCAGCAACTAGTGGTGATGTGAGTGAATTTAAGGCCAGCAAAGGTTGGTTTGAGAGATTTAAAGGGAAGGGAAGTAACCCCGGAAAAGGACTTGCCACCTCAAGTCCTAATGGAAGGGGATTCCCCTTCTAAACACTAAGACCATCAACACTCTCTCCTCCTCCCATCCCATCAATCATCACCAGATCTTCAATAAAGGTAAGTGTCATGTAACTGTGCATGTCTTCTTCAGTTTGTGTGTATTAAAATTAATATTTCATGTGGTAAAACAATTTTTTTTCATACTTTGGAGTGTCCTACACAGATTAATTTGATTTCCATTATTTCTTATGGGGAAATTAACTTGACTAACGATAATTTTGACTAACGATGAGCTCTCAGGAATGGATTAATAGCGTTAGTTGAGGGTCCACTGCATATAATAATAATAATCACACAAGTATTACAATGCAATGCAAATAATGAGCCCAAAGATCTGAAATTCACTACCTGAACTGGTAAAAGATCCCCGACTGCATACAAATTCACCGCTATACACACTTAAAAATCCTCTCATCTCTCAATACTAACCAAAACAACATCTAACCAGTGTAAAGTAACTCTCACAAATATTATATAACCTCTAGTCTATTAAAACATCTACTCATGCTTAAAATATATTGTCTGAACCATTACTTGCAATATTGCTATGTGCAACATCAAGATTATTAATCTTATAAACCTTCAACTTTGACTAACTTGCATTAGTATGAATACAAAATAATGAACAATTAAAAAGATAACCACTATTATCCTGTCTAGACGTAAGTAGATTTAAGTACTAGGATCAGTCTGCCTGAAATACCCCAGCATGTAGTCACTTTCTTTGTATACTTAGCAAATCAAAATTGTAATTACACATTGTAACCTTTGCAAAGAAATAAAATTCTTGATCTTTATTTTTAAGGAGTTATTGCAATCTGTTTGTTCCCTACAAAGAACTATTATTATTATTAATATTTATTATTATTATTATTATTATTATTATTATTATTATATTCATGGGGAAGCAATAAACCAGGGAGGGAAAATCAGCTCCTTGAGCCAGGAGATCCTAGAGCCAAGAGATCCTTGAGCTAAGAGATCCATGAGCCAAGAGATCCTTGAGCCAAGAGGTCCTTGAGACAAGAGATCCTTGAGCCAAGAGATCCTTGAGACAAGAGATCCATGAGCCAAGAGATCCTTGAGCCAGGAGATCCTAGAGCCAAGAGATCCTTGAGCCAAGAGATCCTTGAGCCATGAGATCCTTGAGCCAAGAGATCCTTGAACCAAGAGATCCTTGAACCAATAGATCCTTGAACCAAGAGATCCTTGAGCCAAGAGATCCTTGAGCCAAGACATCCTTGAACCAAGACATCCTTGAACCAAGAGATCCTTGAACCAAGAGATCCTTGAACCAAGAGATCCTTGAACCAAGAGATCCTTGAACCAAGAGATCCTTGAACCAAGAGATCCTTGAACCAAGAGATCCTTGAACCAAGAGATCCTTGGCTCATGAGACCCTTGAAGGATCACCACACACAGAAGCCCAAAATTACACACAGCATTTTGGGCAAAGTTCGTTGTCCTTAAAAGAGAAAAATATATTGTATTTACCTGGACTTTTTTCCGAGTAGAGTGAGTGCTGTTTTGCCTATGGCCTGCGATCATCGACATTGTGTTACCGCCCAGTTACCAACCTTGTTCATGTGGCGCCTGCGGTCATACTTAACTCTGAGAATAATAAAAATTTTGAAAGTCATGCATATGGTTAATTACACAAAATAAAAACAGATAATGAATGTAACATAACAATCACAGCGTAAAGATTATTTACATTATTATTACTGTCAAAGGGAAGGGCCAAACCTGTAGGGGTCATACAGCACCTCTGGAAGGTTTATAACTGTCGTCTTTATATTTGTGGGAAAGTTAAATCAGTTGGGATCATAGAGCTTAGTGAATAGGTGGTAATCTAGGTTGATCCGAGGAATGGGAGGCTAGCTCCACTTCCTTCGATCTGTATACCCCCAGTATACAGTGGTACCTCGGGATACAAACAGCTCAAAACTCAAACAATTATGTAAGTGTATTTATGTAAGTGCTTTTGTAAGTGTATTTTTGGGGGTTTGAAACGGATCAATCTAATTTACATTATTCCTTATGGGAACAAATTCGTTCAGTATTGGCACTCGAACAGCCTTGTGGAATGAATTAAGTTCGTATTCTGAGGTACCACTGCATATGTATTACGTATATGGTGTGTGTATGTGTTGATCATAATAATAGTCCTAATCTTCTTCTTTCAACAAACCGGCTGTATCCCACCAAGGCAGGGTGTCCCAAAAAGAAAAAAACAAAAGTTTCTCTTTTTAACTTTAGTAATGTATACAGGAAAAGGGGTTACTAGCCTCTTGCTCCCACATTTTAGTCGCCTCTTACGACACACATAGCTTATGGAGGAAGAATTTTATTCCACTTCCCCAAGGAGATAAGAGGAAATAAACAAGAACAAGAGCTAGTAAGAAAATAGAAGAAAACCCAGAGGTGTGTGTATATATATGCTTGTACATGTATGTGTAGTGTGACCTAAGTGTAAGTAGAAGTAGCAAGACATACCTGAAATCTTGTATGTTTATGAGACAGATAAAAGACACCAGCAATCCTACCATCACGTAAAACAATTACAGGCTTTCATTTTACACTCACTTGGCAGGATGGTAGTACCTCCCTGGGTGGTTGCTGTCTACCAACCTACTACCACAGGATGGTAGTACCTCCCTGGGTGGTTGCTGTCTACCAACCTACTACCACAGGATGGTAGTACCTCCCTGGGTGGTTGGTGTCTACCAACCTACTACCACAGGATGGTAGTACCTCCCTGGGTGGTTGCTGTCTACCAACCTACTACCACAGGATGGTAGTACCTCCCTGGGTGGTTGCTGTCTACCATCCTACTACCACAGGATGGTAGTACCTCCCTGGGTGGTTGCTGTCTACCATCCTACTACCACAGGATGGTAGTACCTCCCTGGGTGGTTGCTGTCTACCAACCTACTACTTAGAATAGTCCTAATATATGCAGTAAAGTTTTTATAAGGCTACTGCACATACAGGAGGCTTGGTCAAGGACCGGCCATTGGGGCGATGACCCCCAGAACATCCTCCAGGTAGTGTAATGTTTTGCTAATGCAAGAGAAAATAAATCTAGAATTAAATACAACATACTTTGATGGTCTTTTTCATGTAATATTCATTTTTTGATGCACTTGTTCTATTGAATTTACAAACAATTGCACTATAAACAGGAACTTTATAAAATGAGGTCACTGTACATGAGCAGCTTTTGACATTATGTTGGAAAAACAGGAAAAAAAAAGTAAAAAATCCAGGAACAGCAGCATGAGAGGCAAGTAGGGGAGAAAGCTCCCCACACATTCCATCAGCCCCCCTCCCCCATATAACACTGCTTCAACACAAGTGTCCTAGCCCACTCTCGATAATAATAATCTTTATCCCTACATGTACAAGGTATACAGACCGTAGCTGACATTAATGACATACAACTATATAGAAAGCTGCTTGTTATGCTGAGTATTTCAGGTAAATTAGGTACCTATTTTACTGCTAGGTGAACATGGACAGCAAGTATCTTAAGGAAACATGTCCTAACGTTACCACCCGTACCAGGGATCGAACCACAGACCTCAGTGTGTGAGCTGAGTGCGCTACCAATTGAGCTAGCAACCAGATCACCACCCCTAAGCAACTCCGTTATGAGCGGTGGCCTGGTGGCTAAAGCTCCCGCTTCACACACGGAGGGCCCGGGTTCGATTCCCGGCAGGTGGAAACATTTCGACACGTTTCCTTACACCTGTTGTCCTGTTCACCTAGCAGCAAATAGGTACCTGGGTGTTAGTCGACTGGTGTGGGTCGCATCCTGGGGGACAAGATTAAGGACCCCAATGGAAATAAGTTAGACAGTCCTCGATGATGCACTGACTTTCTTGGGTTATCCTGGGTGGCTAACCCTCCGGGGTTAAAAATTCGAATGAAATCTTATCTTATCTTATCTTATCTTACCTCCACAGCTGCATCCCCCTCCATAGAACAATAATCCAACTTCAAAATAACGGACTGGAATTACCTAATTATACAAGACAGCTGCCGTCGTCTGCAAGATGACTGCTGTGGCTGCTCTTGTCTGATCACCATCAACACCTGCTTGTCCACGTCGCTTAGGTACCAATATCTGCGGAGGTGAAGGTGTTATTTGCAAGGGGAAAGTGGTGGAGGCGGAGGTGCCGCAAGGCCGAGTTTCTATAAAAATTTCCTCAGTCCTTCCAAGGCCCCGAAATAATGATGACGATGAAAAATAATACAAAATAATAATAATAATAATAAAGAAAAAGAAGAAGAAGGAGAAAAGAAAGAAAGAAGAAAGAAAAGAAAGAAAGAAAAGAAAGAAAGAAGAAGAGAAGAAAGAAAAAGAAGAAAGAAGAAACAAGAAGAAAGAAGAAAAAAAAAGCAAGAAGAAAGAAGGTAAAAAAAGAAGAAAAAAGAGAAGAAGAGAAGAAAGTTAAGCAGAAGAAAACCCAGAAGCAGGTGAACATGAAGAGTTAGAGACTAACACCAGACCTACTTACTGCTAAGGTGAAACCAGTGACAGCAGGTGTTAGTACTTAACCCCAGTGTACCTACTTACTGCTAGGTGAATAGCTGACAGCAGTGTTAGCAGACTAAACACCCAGGTACCTACTTACTGCTAGGTGACCAGTGACAGCAGGTGTTAGTAGACTAACACCCAGGTACCTACTTACTGCTAGGTGAACACTGACAGCAGTGTTGTAGACTAACACCCAGGTACCTACTTACTGCTAGGTGAACAGTGACAGCAGGTGTTAGTAGACTAACACCCAGGTACCTACTTACTGCTAGGTGAACAGTGACAGCAGGTGTTAGTAGACTAACACCCAGGTACCTACTTACTGCTAGGTGAACACTGACAGCAGGTGTTAGTAGACTAACACCCAGGTACCTACTTACTGCTAGGTGAACACTGACAGCAGGTGTTAGTAGACTAACACCCAGGTACCTACTTACTGCTAGGTGAACACTGACAGCAGGTGTTAGTAGACTAACACCCAGGTACCTACTTACTGCTAGGTGACCAGTGACAGCAGGTGTTAGTAGACTAACACCCAGGTACCTACTTACTGCTAGGTGAACACTGACAGCAGGTGTTAGTAGACTAACACCCAGGTACCTACTTACTGCTAGGTGAACACTGACAGCAGGTGTTAGTAGACTAACACCCAGGTACCTACTTACTGCTAGGTGAACACTGACAGCAGGTGTTAGTAGACTAACACCCAGGTACCTACTTACTGTAGGTGAACATGACACAGGTGTTAGTAGACTAACACCCAGGTACCTACTTACTGCTAGGTGAACACTGACAGCAGGTGTTAGTAGACTAACACCCAGGTACCTACTTACTGCTAGGTGAACACTGACAGGTGTTAGTAGACTAACACCCAGGTACCTACTTACTGCTAGGTGAACACTGACAGCAGGTGTTAGTAGACTAACACCCAGGCACCTACTTACTGCTAGGTGAACACTGACAGCAGGTGTTAGTAGACTAACACCCAGGACCTACTTACTGCTAGGTGAACACTGACAGCAGGTGTTAGTAGACTAACACCCAGGCACCTACTTACTGCTAGGTGAACACTGACAGCAGGTGTTAGTAGACTAACACCCAGGTACCTACTTACTGCTAGGTGAACACTGACAGCAGGTGTTAGTAGACTAACACCCAGGCACCTACTTACTGCTAGGTGAACACTGACAGCAGGTGTTAGTAGACTAACACCCAGGCACCTACTTACTGCTAGGTGAACACTGACAGCAGGTGTTAGTAGACTAACACCCAGGCACCTACTTACTGCTAGTACACTGACAGGTAGTAACTAACCCAGACCTACTATGCTAGGTGAACTGAAAGTGTTAGTAGACTAACACCCAGGTACCTACTTACTGCTAGGTGAACACTGACAGCAGGTGTTAGTAGACTAACACCCAGGCACCTACTTACTGCTAGGTGAACACTGACAGCAGGTGTTAGTAGACTAACACCCAGGTACCTACTTACTGCTAGGTGAACACTGACAGTAGGTGTTAGCAACTTCCCGGGATTGAACCCGGATCCTTCAGTTGTGAGCTGAAAGCTCTACCATCACCCCTACGAGGTACCTAAAGGCACCTAATGCCTTCACCTAACTTCCCAAAATAAAATAAATCAAAATTAAAGATAAATAAAGATATTTTATTATATTTATTTTTATTCAAGCCATTCAGTGGCGAAAGTCATATTTCTTTATTTCCCGCCATTATTAGACTTTATTATATATTTCTACACTAGGTGTAGCAGGTGTTTCACCTAATTAACGTTAGGAGCACTTAGGTGAACTAATTTGTTACTTAAGTGCAAATTTATGGTAAAATATAAGTGGTGGATCACGCAGCTGAATCACTACCGGGTCAACATTACATCCAATTCTCGCCCTTATTTAGCTACTTTGCTGCTCTAATGTCGCAGCTAAAGTCAAGCTAAAAGCTTCAAAGAGAGGTGAGTACCGTGATAGTAGCCGTGGAAGGCAAGAGTAAGACGTGAGAGGTTAAAAACAGTGATGATGGAGGGTTGAGGGAGGGTTGGCAGCTCTCTTGTTTGTTTACCATCATCAAGATCAACATAATAGCATAGACTTGCGCAGCTTTTCTATATTTTTGTTTTTTTTCTACTATATTAGAGGGAAAAAGTGATTTTTTTATATATGAATATGTCCATGGGAGGTTCATTTATCATGTGACTGAAGGATAATGTCGCCTGTTTTTATATACACTTGATATCTACCTCAGAACAAAGAGGCACTTTTTTTTGCCTTTTTCAGCTATATTAAAAAATAAAATTATTTTTTTTATACATGAATATGTCCATGAGAGGCTAATATATCTTGTGATAGAAGGATAATGTCATATGTTCTTATATACACTTGATATCTACCTTAAAACAAAAACAAAATTTGTCTTTTTCTACTACATATGAATAAAAAAAATATTTTTTTTATATATGAATACGTCTATAGGAAGTTCATATATCATATGATAGACGGATAATATCACCTATACTGATATATTCTGATATTCACTTTAAGAAAATCGTAAGTATTTTTTTGCTGTTTTCTCTATATATAAACTAAAAAAGTCTTTTTATGTGTCAAAATATGTCTATATGGGTTAAATCTATCGTGTTACTTAAAGATAATATCGTCTATCTTGATTTACAGCTTAAATTAAATAATTTTCCAAATTTCTCCTTTTTTCGTTATATATTAGATATTATATATTTATTTCACATCTAAATATGACCAAAACTATTTTACCTTTCATGTGATTGAAGGATAATATCCCCAGTAATAATATAATACCCATATTTAGATTAAATTTATATTATATCAGTAATTTAAAAATGATCTAATCTTGCAATTAATTGAAAGATGCTGTTCAGTGTTGCAGGGGTCGAGTCACAGCTCCTGGCCCCGTCTCTTCACTGGTCACTACTAGGTCCACTCTCTCCTTGCTCCATGAGCTTTATCATACCTCTTCTTAAAGCTATGTATGGATCCTGCCTCCACTACATCACTCTCCAGATTGTTCCACTTTCTGACAACTCTGTGACTGAAGAAATACTTTCTAACATCCCTGTGACTCATCTGAGTCACAGTGACAACTTCCAGTTGTGTCACCCTGTTCCTGTGTCACCTTGTTGCTGTGTACCCTTGTTCCTGAGTCCCCTTATTTCTGTGTCACCTTGTTCCTGTGTCACCTTGTTGCTGTGTCACCTTGTTGCTGTGTCCCCTTATTTATGTGTCACCTTGTTCATGTGTCACCTTGTTGCTGTGTCACCTTGTTGCTGTGTCCCCTTATTTCTGTGTCACCTTGTCCTGTGTCCCTTTTGTTGCTGTGTCACTTGTGCTGTGTCCCCTTATTTATGTGTCACCTTGTTCATGTGTCACCTTGTTCCTGTGCCACCTTGTTGCTGTTTCAGCGTGTTCCTGTGTCCCATTATTTCTGTGTCACCTTGCTGCTGTATCCCTTTGTTCCTGTGTCCCTTTATTTCTGTGTCACCTAGTTCCTGTGTCACCTTGTTCTTATGTCCCCTTGTTGCTGTGTCACCTTGTTCCTGTGTCACCTTGTTGCTGTGTCACCTTGTTCATGTGTCCCCTTATTTCTGTGTCACCTTGTTCCTGTGTCACCTTGTTGCTGTGTCCACTTGCTCCTATACCCCCTTGTTGCTGTGTCCACTTGTTCCTGTGTTCCCTTGTTGCTGTGTCCACTTATTGTTGTGTCACCTTGTTACTGTGTCCCCTTGTTCCTGTGTCCCCTTGTTGCTGTGTCCACTTGTTGTTGTGTCCACTTGTTCCTGTGTCCCCTTGTTGCTGTGCCCACTTATTGTTGTGTCCCCTTGTTGCTGTGTCCCCTTGTTGTCGTGTCCCCTGGTTCCTGTGTCCCCTTGTTGCTGTGTCCCCTTGTTCCTGTGTCCCCTTATTCCTGTGTCTACTTGTTCTTTGTCACTTCGGTCCTGCGACCCAAATCCTGACTGGCGTGAGTCGCATCCTGGAGACAAAATTGACCTATTTTCCGGAAAATGCTCAGCATAACCAGGGACTTTCTATATAGCAGTATGTCACTGATGTCAGCTATGGTCTGTATAAGTTGTATCATGTAGATAATTATTATTATTACTGAATAACGGGTAGTATTATACAGCATTTGTGTCCATTTCCCGAAAAGGAAGATACGGCGCGAGGCATCAGTGGCTCTATAAACCAACAACAACAACAACAACGTGGGGAAGATGACGCTCCTGAGATTAATTTTCTTTGCTGGAAGATCACAAAGAAGTTGTAGCTCGCTAAGGGGGAATAATAATGGACTCTGGTTGAGTAATAATGGACGCTGGTTGAGTGATAGTGGAGGGAGAGGCCCCCATCACCGTGCCCAGGATGCCACCCGGCTCACCCTAGACCACCAATATTCAGTGCCTAAGGACACAATTCTCTTCAAATATGATAATCCAAGGTTCTTCAGGCTCATGAATGTCTTTGCCATGTCTCAGTTTTTCTTCTGGGTCTATCTGAGTCACTTCGCGTTTTCCACCATGAAAAACGTTCCGATTTCCCAGGAAAAAAAGGAAGACAAGGATCTGCCGTGGTGGAGGAAAATAAATTTTGGGAAATACAGGAACGGTATTGCGGCCGGAAGCTTTTTAATAGGTATTGTATTTTTGGTTTATAACCCATTTACAGGCACCTTGGTAATAATGAAGGGCTCCTGGTCCAGGGGATTGGAGCTACCTTCTCTCGGGGGTGCATGACCCATACAGGTTTAGCACTTTTCCCTTAAATATGGTTATAGCTAGGTTTTCGGAAAAGTAATTATTTGTGTAAATTTAAGGCGTTTCGATTGAGCGGACTAAGGGGAGGTAGCGGAAGGCCGGTAGCAGTGATTGCGGCAGATGATGGGATTGATTGGCTGCGATTGTCACCGCAGCGGAGAGCTGCGTAACTGCATTGGTTCTAAATTCGACAATCCAGCGGATTTTGTCCTGTGTTTTGGAAGTCCGTTAAATTGAGAGTTTGTTTGTGTAAACCCCCCTGGAGGGAGGCTCCTCAAGGCAGGTGATAAACTCATGATCCAAGGAACTTGAGCTGTTCTCCCCTTTCGTGCACTGAACCTAATCACCTCCCATTCCTTCCAGGTGCTGTATAATCCATATGGGTTTAGCACTAATTTGTAAATAGTAATAATAATAGTACTTAGTAATAATATTAATAATACTAGTAATAATAATAATAGTATGTACTTAGTTATAATAATAGTAGTACTTAATAATAATAATAATAACTAGTATTTCCTCAAGTCATACATTATATCTCATATTTGGCACTATGACCCCTGCTTATAGTAGCAGTAATATAATTGTTATACTGTGATGCAGCGTGACTGGGACAATTAACGAAGGAGACAAACCTTCAACAAAAGTTTGGTTCATCGTCAAGTCACAACTGGGGCAAGAAAAATAAAAAAGGCCCAGCGATGACTTAATAATGGTCCAGAATGGACCGAAATGTTGGTTATGAGATTCCTCTCCTTCATGTAGGTTCTTATTAATGCAGTCATGAAATGTTTGTAGGATTGTATGGTCTAATGGTTAGAGCATTGTGAATTTTGACCTGCTTCCCACGAGGCAAGCCTGAGTAGCACAGGTTCAATCCCCAGCCATGCCGCAGTTTGTTAATAGCTTTCATGCAGGTTCTTGTGAACCTTGTGTTCATTTCAATTCAAATTTGATTCAAAAATTTATTTCTTTGCATAATATTCAATGTGTAGTTTACACAGTTAAATATTGTTTAACAGTGAATTATTTGTGATATTTCGACTTTTCAGGTTGGGGAACATTGGCTATCTGCTGGATGTACACTCTTCGCTCTGTACGGTACTTGATACTCAAGAAGGGTGGGAAGGAACTGCTCTTCATCACTTATACACCGCTTGGTCGCCACCGTTCCATGACCGTGCCTCTGGAAAAGGTGGTGAAATAAGAGAATACAAGTCGAAAATACCCTGGCTGGACCACTTCACTCTCATTGACACTACACTCCACTATTTTTTCCATTACCTAGTGCCTGCTACAACCTCCTGCCAATTATTACCTACCATTACCACTACCACCTACTACTGCTGCCACCATTGCTGCTATGTTTTTTCTGCTCCCTCCAAACCTGTCTTCTGTACTTCTCTGCTGTTTCTCTCTCACTTGTGACTTGACAATGATCCAGGATTTACCAAAACATTGTTATGAGGTTCATCTAGATGCAGGTTTTTTTTGCGAGTAGGTATAGAATCTTAATAACCATAAGCTTTATGAAAAAAACTAGTATGTAATGATAAGTAACAAGATGACACAAGGTGCGGACCTCTTCACTCTGTTTACAGCTTTATTTCCCAGCTCTTCATTGAGTTACTTAGCTGTTTTATAATAATAATAATAATATAATAATAATAATAATAATAATAATAGTAATACAGCCTCTCCTCACTTAGCAATGTACTCGTTTACTGACGACCTGGATATACGACTGGCTCTCTGACCAGTATTCATACCTGAATAATGTATATTAGAGCTGAGTTTCTCTTTTCTGTTTATTTCATTATACAGTACACTACTGTATAAACATTTAAAAATATACCAGAAATGTTATAAATGGTGCAAAGGTGACAATACAGTATCAAAGATGGTTGACACAAACTCACTACCATTATAGTATACTCCTCACTTAGCGACAAATTCGTTTAACGGTGTGGTCTCAGGAATGGAACTCCATCGTTAAGTGAGGAGAGGCTGTAATAATAATAATAATAATAATAATAATAATAATAATAATAATAATAATAATAATAATAATCATAATCATCCTTATTTCTACAAGTACATGTACAAGGTATACAAACCATAGCTGACATCAATGACATACTAACACACAGAAAGCCCCTAGCTCTGCAGAGCATTTCCTGCAAATTTGGTCAATTTTGTCCCAGGATGCCACCCACAGTAGTCACCTAACACCCAGGTACCTACTTTGCTGCTAGGCAAACAGTAACAGTGGGTGCCTTAAGGAAACACATGCTAATGTTTCCAGTCATACCGGGGATCAAACCACGAACCTCAGTGTGTGAGTTGAGTGCTCTATGAGTCAAGCTACGGGTTTAAATAAGAAGATATTACAAGGACTTCAATGGAAATAGGTCACTTTGTCTGGCTTTTTTAGGTTATCCTAAATAATTTACACTATGTATGATAATTGTACTTATGTGTACCTGTACCTAAATAAACTTACATACTAAATATTTTTTTGGAAAGAAGGTTGATGAGTTTCATCAACTGTAAAGTATTAAGATGCTGGTTTGTTAGCTGCCTCAGCTTACACACTGAGGGACCAAGGTTTGATCCTCTGACAAGTAGAAACAGTGGGTATGTTACCTTACACCTACTGCCCCTGTAGGTACCCAGGTGACTGGTGTGGGTCGCATACTGCATGAGAGGATTAAAGGACCCTAATTAAAATAAGATACAGTCTTCAATGATATTCTGACTTTCTTGGGTTATCCTAGGTTAATAATCCTCCTGTTTGGCATCAATAAATTTCTGATCTAGAAAATTATAAGTATTTTAATTTTTAATCATTTATTTTTTTAATTAATCAATTTTGAAAATTATTTCTGGTTTACAAACTGGTACATTCCTATTTATTATTATTTATTCATTATTATTATTATTATTATTATTATATTATTATTATTATTATTATTTTATTATTGTTATTATTTTCTTTCAACACACCGGCCGTATCCCACCGAGGCGGAGTGGCCCAAAAAGAAAAAACGAAAGTTTCTCCTTTTACATTTAGTAATATATACAGGAGAAGAGGTTACTAGCCCTTGCTCCCGGCATTTTAGTCGCCTCTTACAACACGCATGGCTTTGGAGGAAGAATTTCTGTTCCACTTCCCCATGGAGATAAGAGGAAATAAACAAGAATAAGAACTAGAAAGAAAATAGAAGAAAACCCAGAGGGGTGTGTATATATGTGCTTGTACATGTATGTGTAGTGTGACCTAAGTGTAAGTAGAAGTAGCAAGACGTACCTGAAGTCTTGCATGTTCATGAGACAGAAAAAAGGACACCAGCAATCCTACCATCATGTAAAACAATTACAGGCTTTCGTTTTACACTCACTTGGCAGGACGGTAGTACCTCCCTGGGTGGTTGCTGTCTACCAACCTACTACCTATATTATTATTATTATATTATTATTATTGTTATAATACATAAATGGCCATTGTCATAAGTTTGTCTCCTATACATGTATGTGAGTTATTTGTGTATCATTCCAGTCAGGGCATTGTGCCTTTTTATTAATTTTTATTATTACTGTAATCCATGCTAATTATTTTTTTGTATCTGTTGCAAAGTTTTTTGAGGTAATAATTTCAGTCTCACTTTGTTTCAGGTGTCTGCCAAACAGAGTCGATTATCAGCGAAGGTTCATCTTCCCCTGAAGGTTCGAGGAACTTACTTCAACTATATCTTGGACATGAGCGGCAGTTTCTTGAACTCTCAGCTATTTGATTATTCTGCTGGTCTCAGGAGGAGCTGGGCTAAATGATAGAGCTTTATTTTTCCCCAGGTTCAAAAAATACTGGGGAATAATGAATATCAAAATAGGGTGGCTGGATCATTTCGTAAATAAATCGCATTTAGGACAGGAAATGTACGACGATGTTTCATTCCTTCCTGGACCATTGCTTTTCTAAAACTAACCAACCTGTAATCATGCAAATTATGAAACCTTCCACTGTAGCCTTGATGTCCCTTGGCTGGGTGAACAACACTCTTGCCTCACATGGTGAGTGTCTGGTTCAATCCCTGGCATGGGTGGAAATGGAAATAAATGGTATAAAATACCGACACAATGGAAATATAAACACATATGTAGTTTAATGTAGACTGGCTTTTATTCACAAGTCTGTTTGGCGCCACACAGTGGGCGTTTTTCAAGATCACATAACAAAACGGGAAAGTCTGTTTGTACTTGAAGTCACTGTCACTAGCGTAGGTGGTCATGGTATTATTTATAACACTGTTGTCAGATAAGACGGATATTATTAAACATGCTCACTGTTACTATCCATGGTGAAATGTTGGGCATGTTTCTTTACACCTGCTGTCACTGTTCACCTAGCAGTAGGTAGGTACATGGGTATTAGTTTATTAACACCTGCTGTCACTGTTCACCTAGCAGTAAGTAGGTACATGGGCATTAGATAACTGGTGTGGGAGGCATCCTGGGGGACAAGATTGAAAGACAGTGGAAATAAGAGAGTCCTCGATGATGCACTAGCTTTACCAGGTTATCCTGGGCGACTAACCCTCCCTATCCCTGGTATCCTGGGTGGATAACCCTCCCTTCCCGAGGCCATCCTGGGTGGCTGACACTTCCTTCCCTGAATTATCTTGGGTGGCTAACCCTCCCTACCCCAGGTTATCCTGAGTGGCTAACCCTCCCTACCCCAGGTTATCCTGAGTGGCTAACCCTCCCTACCCCAGGTTATCCTGAGTGGCTAACCCTCCCTACCCCAGGTTATCCTGAGTGGCTAACCCTCCCTACCCCAGGTTAAAAATCCCAACAAATCTATCTTAATATATTCTAAGGGACTATCTTTATCTTAACTGACTTAGACAATGGTACAGGATATATCAGAGTCATCATTATCTTCCTAAGTGTATAATATTAGTGAACAGTAGTATATAATATTAGTGAATAGTAGTGTATGTATTTATGTATGTATGTACAGAAATTTGGTATCTATGTAATGTACTTTCAATTCGTTTTGCGTTTTATTTCTTCCTTTAGCAAGAAAAATACTCGTGTCACATATTACAAATGCTACACATTACAGTCGGACTCCCGTACCCATGGACACAGTTTCCGCTCTCCTACATACACTAACCTGAGCCTCACTATCCTCATAAGAACTCTTAACTAACAGTGACAATGACAAGTTTATTTTAGCATGATACATGTTTGTAATAAAGTTGGTAGAATTACCGACAATATGTAAAGTAAAAGGACACAAGTGCAACTAATGTGGCATTTTATTGTGGCAACGTTTCGCTCTCCAGGAGCTCCTGGAGAGCGAAACGTTGCCACAATAAAATGTCACATTAGTTGCACTTGTGTCCTTTTACTTTACATGATACATGTTTGTATGAAGGAGTGTATGGAAATAAATGGTATAAAATACCGACACAATGGAAATATAAACACATATGCAGTATAATGTGATCCTTTATTGACTACGTTTCGCCCACACAGTGGGCTTTTTCAAGTCACAAACAGACTTGAAAAAGCCCACTGTGTGGGCGAAACGTAGTCAATAAAGGATCACATTATACTGCATATGTGTTTATATTTCCATGAAGGAATGTAACAATTTGGTGAACTTGCCAAAAGTCCCTTTACATGCAGAGCATTTCGGGCAAACTTAGACTAACTTAAGATTCATAAGGCAATTACAGTGTAGTACAATATTACAATTTAGCACAATTTAAAACAATGAAGTTGAAAGAATTTTAAGTTTGAAGTAACCTACCACCTGTTCCATACATTTGGAAAATCTCCCACATTGCTCCCCTGTCTACCATATCATATGCCTTTTCCAAATTCATAAATGCATGGTTTACCATGATCCAAAAATAACTCTTAATTTTCCTTAATAATGGCCAAAGAGTACAAAAGTAGTGATGGTCGCATTATTATTATTATTATAATCAAGGGGAAGCGCTAAACCCGGAGGATTATACAGCGCCTGGGGGGGGATGTGGAAGGCACTCAGGCTTAATTCGGGGAACTGGAGCAAAGATCCAATTCCCTAAATCAAGAGCCCCTCACCAACATCAAGGAACCTTCCTTGAGGGGCCAAGTGATGGTCGCAGTTCTTCAAAGTCTAAGAGAATCTGTGAAGTTCTTCCCATCAGTGAAAAGTGATAATTCTCCACTTATTGTGTATAATTTATCAAGGTTTATCGTAGTTATGTAGGTAAAGGAAAAACCACATATATAGGGTTTGTTTCTATCCAGGGTTGCGGGTATCCACAGCACGTCTTGGAATGTATCCCCTCAAGGAAGGTTCCTTGATGTTGGTGAGGGGCACTTGATTTAGGGAATTGGATCTGTGCTCCAGTTCCCCGAATTAAGCCTGAATGCCTTCCACATCCCCCCCCCCAGGCGCTGTATAATCCTCCGGGTTTAGCGCTTCCCCCTTGATTATAATAATAATAAATGGAATGTATCACCCGTAGATACTAGGGCACTACTGTACTTCATTGATAAGATGGGTACAGCACCTGGTGGGTAAAGCTCCCGCTTCACACACGGAGGGCCCGGGTTCGATTCCCGGCGGGTGGAAACATTTCGACACGTTTCCTTACACCTGTTCTCCTGTTCACCTAGCAGCAAATAGGTACCTGGGTGTTAGTCGACTGGTGTGGGTGGCATCCTGGGGGACAAGATTAAGGACCACAATGGAAATAAGTTAGACAGTCCTCGATGACGCACTGACTTTCTTGGGTTATCCTGGGTGGCTAACCCTCCGGGGTTAAAAATCCGAACGAAATCTTATCTTATCTTATCTTACAACACCTGGCTACCTTTATTGATGAACAAAGCACATGTACAACACCTATGTATATTGATGAAATTGGAAGCCATTAAGGAAGATGCAGGAGTGAGTGACTCAACCCCCTGCAAACACTGGTGGGTGAGCACAGCTGTTGTGGGGTTTCCAATACAGGAAGCCTCAGCGAAGAGTGAGCTGAAGACTCCAGTGAAACCCTTAACTGACGTCTTGCCCATGCACCACTACAGTGTGCACCCAGAGTGCATGACAGGTGCACTACACCACCACAGTGCACACTCAGAGTGCACAGACGTGTATAACAGGTGAGTATAGTGTCATACTGCTTGTAGAGCTCTTGTCAAGTTGTTTCACTCTGTAGAGCTCTATTAAGTTATGTTTCACTTTGTAGAGCTTTATCAAGTTATGTTTTATTGTGCAGAGCTTTATAAAGTTATGTTTCACTGTGTAGAGCTTTGTTTCACACTGTAGAGCTTTATGTTTCACACTGTGTAGACCTTTGTTTCACAATGTGTAGAGCTTTATGTTTCACTGTGTAGAGCTTTATGTTTCACACTGTGTAGAGCTTTATGTTTCACACTGTGTAGAGCTTTATGTTTCACTCTGTGTAGAGCTTTATGTTTCACTCTGTGTAGAGCTTTATGTTTCACTCTGTGTAGAACTTTATGTTTCACACTGTGTAGAGCTTTATGTTTCACTCTGTGTAGAGCTTTATGTTTAACTCTGTGTAGAGCTTTATGTTTCACACTGTGTAGAGCTTTATGTTTCACTGTGTGGAGCTTTATGTTGCACACTGTGTAGAGCTTTATGTTTCACTCTGTGTAGAGCTTTATGTTTCACTCTGTGTAGAGCTTTATGTTTCACTATGTGTAGAGCTTTATGTTTCACTATGTGTAGAGCTTTGTTTCACACTGTGTAGAGCTTTATGTTTCACTCTGTGTAGAGTTTTAGTTTCACCTGTGTAGAGCTTTATGTTTCACTGTGTAAGCTTTATGTTCACTGTGTAGAGCTTTATGTTTCACTCTGTGTAGAGCTTTATGTTTCACTCTGTGTAGAGCTTTATGTTTCACTCTGTGTAGAGCTTTATGTTTCACTATGTGTAGAGCTTTATGTTTCACTCGTGTAGAGCTTTATGTTCACTCTGTTAGACCTTTATGTTTCACACTGTGTAGAGTTTTAAATTTTTTCACTCTGTGTAGAGCTTTATGTTTCACTATGTGTAGAGCTTTATGTTTCACTGTGTAGAGCTTTATGTTTCACTATGTGTAGAGCTTTATGTTTTACTCTGTGTAGAGCTTTATGTTTCACTCTGTGTAGAGCTTTATGTTTCACTATGTGTAGAGCTTTATGTTTCACTCGGTGTAGAGCTTTATGTTTCACTCTGTGTAGAGCTTTATGTTTCACTCTGTGTAGAGCTTTATGTTTCACTATGTGTAGAGCTTTATGTTTCACACTGTGTAGAGCTTTATGTTTCACTCTGCATAGAGTTTTAAATTTTCACCTGTGTAGAGCTTTGTTTCACTCGTGTAGAGCATTATGTTTCACTCTGTGTAGAGCTTTATGTTTCACTCTGTTAGAGCTTTATGTTTCACTCTGTGTAGAGCTTTGTTTCACTCTGTGTAGAGCATTATGTTTCACTCTGTGTAGAGCTTTATGTTTCACTCTGTGTAGAGCTTTATGTTTCACTCTGTGTAGAGCTTTATGTTTCACTCTGTGTAGAGCTTTATGTTTCACTCTGTGTAGAGCTTTATGTTCACTATGTTAGAGCTTTATGTTTCACACTGTGTAAGCTTTTATGTTTCACTGTGTAGAGCTTTATTTTTCACTATGTGTAAGGCTTTATGTTTCACTATGTGTAGAGCTTTATGTTTCACTGTGTAGAGTTTTAAATTTCACTCTGTGTAGAGCTTTATGTTACACTCTGTGTAGAGCTTTATGTTTCACTCGTGGGAGCTTTATGTTTCACTCTGTGTAGAGCTTTATGTTTCACTCTGTGTAGAGCTTTATGTTTCACTCTGTGTAGAGCTTTATGTTTCACTGTGTAGAGCTTTATGTTTCACTATGTGTAGAGCTTTATGTTTCACTCTGTGTAGAGCTTTATGTTTCACTCTGTGTAGAGCTTTATGTTTCACTCTGTGTAGAGCTTTATGTTTCACTCTGTGTAGAGTTTATGTTTCACACTGTGTAGAGCTTTATGTTTCACTCTGTGTAGAGCTTTATTTTAACTCTGTGTAGTAGCTTTATTTTTCACACTGGTAAGAGCTTTATGTTTCACTGTGTGGAGCTTTATGTTGCACACTG